CATTTTCTGATTAATCCTCAAAAGCGCATCTGGCAAAATAAGTCTCATGCAAAGATTTAGTCCATAGTGAACAAATGTCGATCGAAGTTTTAACTTGAAGTCGAATATCTCGAAAAATCCTCATCACAGAAACTTTTTAAGAGTACTAATGAACTCAGTATTTATTTCTCTACAACTAAGCACTAATTCTTAACTTTCTACTATAATATTCGAGCATTTGCAGCAATTCATTTGCAGATTCAAAAAGATGCTTACAATCGTTTGCAAAGTGCAAATGTTTTCTTTAAATGGTTTAATGTTTAGTTATGTTACATAAAGCTAGCTCAGATTGTTGGAGATTAATCGCGGACTTACTTTATTACTGGTCAAACTTTGACTATTGACTATCTCTGACTATTTCTTAGACTCAGACTTAAATTGGTTAACTTATTCATACTTTACTATTCTAATTTAAGCATCGTAGCTGTTTGGGATTTTGCATTATCTTGGAACCAATGCAAAGCAATTATAGCCTTTAGTCAGCAATTGCTACCGAATATTAAAGCATTTCAAGAAAACAAATTGTGTGCAATTGTATTGAATCTTATTTATTTGTTACATAAACTCATTTAATTGTTACACTAATTGATAGAACAAGAAAATTAGTTCTTAAAACTTGTAATTTAGGTTAGATTCATTTGATTTTAGGTTTTACAGGTTTTAACCAGAAGTCAAGATTTAAACAATAAATAATATTGAAACAAAAGACATATTGTAATTCATTTCTTGAATGATTTGAGCTGCAATTTTAAGGCATTGTGATTAACTGCATTGGAAATCGGAAGTCCAGGAAAGCCAACTTGAATAATGATATACAGTAAAAAGATTTGCAGTTGTACACTGAAACAATCAATTCTTCACATCTCGCACTAGTTTAAACTTCGTCTCAAATTATATTCATCATTTCACAGCAAACACTTTGATCCCAAGTTTATCCAGTTTATAATTAAGACCAGAAAAATCCCAAAAATTGATTAACATTTAAATTGTAAATTTTGTGCTTTGCAATGTTTCCTATGAAAACAAAAAGACGAATAAAACAAAATTAGCTTTTCATGTTGAAACAAAGGAACCTAAAACATCGGTTTTCAATTAACCAAAAAATGCTTTCAAGATATTAAGGATTAATTTTAATTATGCTTGAATAAACTAATACATAATTATGCATTAACAGTATAATAGTTGGAAATGCTTATTCGGCTAACATTGTATCATTTCTGCTCTCAACTGATCAACTCAGTTTGCAATTTGACTTGCTTATGAGTTGACTAATGCATAAGCTAAGTTAATTATATTAATTACATTAATTTATGCTAAAATTATGCATTCAATTCGAAATAATTAGCCTGATGTTTGAGCTAAATCCTAAGAAAGGTTTATTGAAAAGATTTACACTAAAAATGTTATATTAGTCTCCTTTCATGACAAATATTAAGCTATTGTATTATAAAATCCAAAGTTACCTTTTATTGTTTCTCGATGTTGACTATCAATTCACTTGGTTTTATTTTTTGCTGCCATTCCCATGTCACACCATGTTTTATAGTCAATCAGCCGATTATTCCCAATCGGAGGAAGCTTCAATGCTTCAGAATCCATTTGCTGATTGTTGTTGCTGTTTGGTTCACATTTGACTGGTCCTCTTGATAAACTGTTGGGTGAAGACTTATTTGAAGATTTATTTGATGATCTTTGCTGTCCGTTGGTTTGACCAGTCTCATGGTTGTCACCATTAAACCAAGACATTGTTTCTTGTTCCCAGATCTCTTCATAATAATCTGTTGGTCGATTGATCGACTTGAGATTTTCAATTTTCCGTCTCAAAGCAGATTCAAAGTTAACATTTGTATTGTTGAAGTTATTTAAATTGTCATTTACCAAGGGCTCCGAATCACGGTAAATATTGCCTTCATTGATACAATGACGTCTTGACAGTGAACATTGTTGCTGTTTATGGGAAGATGAGAGGGATTCAGTCGAATTCGGGTTGTCTTGTTCGTTTTGATCATAACTTTGACAAAGATGATGCTGAGAATTGTGATGATTGATACGTTGCTCAGATGTTACATAAGTAACATCCGAATCAATTGATATTGAATCAAGTGACTTGGCTTTTGACATTTTTGGACGGATTGAAGTCCATCTTTCTAAATCTTTAGAGTAAATTGAATTGAATTGAGTCAAATAGTTGGTCAACATTGAAACAATTTCACTGCGAGACTCTTCTTTTGCTATTTCCAAAGCATTTTTACCATAATTGTTTCGCTGTCTCAACAGGTTAGGGTCAAGTTCACGCTTAATGAAATGATCAATATAACACTCAACCACACTTAACTGTCCACCTTTGGCTCCATACATTAACCCAGTATTTCCCTCTTTATCTTGTATCGTAATATCAGTTTCATCCTAAAAACGACAAAATATAAAAAAATTGGACTTAGATACTTATACCCAAATGAAACCATTTTGACCTCTTTTTATTGTTTATATTTTAGTTAAATTGCAATTTGTTTTCAATATTCAAAGTGAATCGACTAAATCAAGGCTGTAATGTTAATCAATAAGAAACAAATCAGTGTAAATGGGTTTCAGAAAATTAAAAACCGATTCAATAGGTTTTTACAATATTTTTTGGAAATTAAAATGCAGAAGATTTTGCCCAACACAAAACGACTTTTCAATATTGTCCATTATTTTCAACTATTGATTTTAAATTTATTGATCAACTTGATTTAATTTCTTCTCTCACTTCCAATCATTTAGCAAACTAAACTATCAACAAATAAGTGTATTACATTTCAAGACTAAACTAATATTTCTAAGTATTAATAACTGCGCAAAGTTTACTGACTCTGAATTTTCTGGTCATTTTGAACCCAATCTCATTCATTAACCAAATTAACCTTATATAAATGACTTGTCCAATGTTTATTAATATTCTAGTTACATCTAATTAATTTACAAATGATAAAACTCGAAATGTGGGCAATAATCTACTTCTCTATGAGTATCTCTATACATATGATATTTAAATTGCTCACTGGACAAGTTTCATGATCAGTTGACCGTGTACAATAAACTTGGGCTTGACCCTTTAACCAACATTGATATTTAGGTTATAAAACTGTCCGTATTTACATGACCAAGGGTGAAATTTGTGTCATTCAATCCAATGGTAAGGTTAAGATTAACATGTTATAATGTCAATGAAAAGCAATTTCATTTAGTGCTTAATTTAGGTTAAAGGGAAGCTTCTCCAATACATTTACTACTTTTGGTTATTTCAAAGGTTACTATTGCTTTACGAAAACAAGTTTCGAGATTGAAGTCAAAATGGTTGTGAATTCAACAGAAATTAAATTATAAATTGTTTGAAGATGTTTTACTTACATGGGAAAGCAAGGATTGAACTAGATCATCTTGACCTTTGATGGTTGCATGAATTAACGCTGTTTGACCGCGAGAATCCTGAAGATTAGGATTTGCTCCAAAATCAAGTAGCAATTTAGCAAATTTCGCTCGCATTTTCTTGTGCTCTTTACGATTCAAGGATTTAACCAGATGAATTAATGGAGTCTCACCCAACTCATTTCGTCCATTCACATCTTGACCACTTTGAATTAGCAGAAGACATTGTCTAAGGGAAAGAGAAGAGCAATTGGATAAACATCATTTAAATATTTAGTAAATTTTAGGCAAAATGTTTTAAATTGAAAAACGATTTGTTACAACTCCGATCCTTGATTTTGTCTAGAGTGCGTATTAATATTTTATATTTTAATGTAATATTGAATATGTAATATTGCGGTCAAAAAACGGTTGACATTGAATTTTAGACTGTAATTCAAGTTTTAGGATGACATGAAATATTAAAAATCGATTGGAAGGATTTTAAATTATTTTATTTTTTTGATTCTCTTGCGTTAAATTAATATATTTGAAATGGCAATTTAGTGTATAAGTTACAAGGGTAAAATTTTTGTATAAAACTGATCGATTCGATGAAACTGAAGGAAATCCTTTTTCAATTCTGTTAATGATTGTTTCTCATTCAAATCTATAATTTTGTTGACATCAACTTCACCCGATTCACAATAATTCATTACAAGATTTATTGATTTCAAGTATAATGTCTTTGTTTAATTGTTGTTGATGTTTTCATCTTTCAATTTCAAGGTTGATAAAATGTGCTGGTTAACAAAAGCAATGTCCAATCTATAGCAAACAGGGAATCAACTGAGTAAATAAAAAGACAAAATTCAAATGAAATGCTCATGTAGCGTAAAGATTTATCGATTCAAATTGCCTTTCATGGTATCAATAGATTCATTAAACGTATCGTTATTTGTCATTAAACTTGACATGAAAAAGTAAAAAATATTTTCTTTCTCGCTTATTCTCGTTATTGGCGATTCAATAATCAATAACAATTAAATAAGAAATATTAATTCAATTACAAACCTGTATCTTTGATTACGGATTGAATCAAATAAAGCAGTGTTGTTTGAAGCATCAATTGAGTTTAATTTGTTGGACAGTTTGCCTTTAACAGTTGCAGTTCCATTGCCATAATAAGAATTGTTTTTGGCTACTTTCTGGTTAATTGTGATAAACTCTGAAGGATAAGCCAAGCTGGTCCATTGTCCAGTTGAATTTAAACTATCCGTGATTGAGACCATGATTTTCAATGTAACCAAATCAAGAAGTTGGAGTTAGAAAATGAAAAACAATTAGTTGATCACAATTAAAGAAGAGTTGAGCAAAGATTTACACTTAAACTTATCAATGATGAATTGATGGGCTAAAATTTTGATGCTCACGGTTGATAAACAATCAATTTGAATGTTCAGTAAGATGAAATGATAATAGTGTTGCTTATAAGTTGAAATGTTATTGAATTGACGATAAACCTCATGTTTTTTTCCAGTCAATACTTTCACCTTGATATTGAGTCAACTCTGCGCAAATGTTACGAAGTAATTATCATATTTGAATCTAGTTTAATCACCATTAGTATTCATTAATGTCCATTGTTTTTGGTGATTAACTAGACTTACCCTTAGTCTTGTCATCTTTGGCTATTTCAAAAATAATCAGAGCGTTTCAAATGGCCTTATAAGCTTATTTTTGTTATACTTTGAATTCATTTTTACTCTTTTTTAGATTTTCTTCAAATTATTAATATTCAACTCCACAGGAAATTTTTTTCTGAATTTTAAGAAAATCATAAATTCAATAAATAATGTTTGGATTTGAAAAGAGGGACAAATCAAATGCTAGTCATAATGAGCAATTTCATTATTATTGAAACACATCTATTGATTTACTTGTCTTGAATGATGATGTGTTTTAGTTAAACTTGACCTCTTTTGTGTGTATATTGATTGAATTGTGATGTATCTGAAGTGTTCAAATGTTCATTAACCATCGATAAGATCAAGGTTAAGATTGATTATCAATATTAAAATATTAATCTTAAATGCGACTCAGCTATAAAATATAAATATTAACATAATAAAATGTCATCTTTTTCAATGTAGGCAATATCATAATTTACCTCATAATTGCATGTTTTTTTGCCAATTTCATTTTGACATTGTCTGAATTGTGTGCAACTCTTATTGACTAATTATCATATTTGCGATGAGTTTATTCAATTAATTAACATTCATTTTTGTCAATTATTTTACTTATAAACAAAACTTTACTCCTAGTCTCTTGCCATCTCTGTCTATTACAAATTACATTTAATCAGAGCATTTCAAATGACCTCAAAAGTATTGTTGAAAGTTGTAATTGAAGTTGTATTTATTGTGTGAAATTTCATGTCATTCAATAATTTCTTGGGAGTTGATGATAGATTTTTTTATTGAATGTTTGAACCGAAATACAATGTTAACTTTGTGCCTGTGAATGGCTTAGCTTATTTGTAAGAATTATACCGATTTTAGAATAAATATTTTTAATGATAAATAGACTGCTTAAATTTTCATTTTTTTACTAGAATATAATGTAAAATAGCAACATTTAAAATTTAATTGCTTATAACATTGCTAGTTCACTAGCGCAGTAATTGAATATTAATATAAAAATAAATATACAAAAAGTACAATTGAAATATCATTTGTTATGAAATGAAGATTTAAAATAAACATATGATTTTTCTGTGATGGGTTTAAATTGTGTTTGATGGACGCTTCTCTTTGTTCTTGTATAACTAGACTGTTACTCAGCTGCTTCTGGTTCTTCATTGACAGCGATATCTTCGTCATTCTTAGCAGCTTCAACATCTTCGATTTCCTCTTCACCATCCTCTTTTTCAATTTCAGCTTCGTCAACTCCTTTGTTTTTAGCCTGTTTCAATTTACTTTCAAATTCATCCAAAATTTGTTTAGTTTCATTTTTAAGACCAGTTGTTTTTCTGGTATTGGCAACAATAAGCATGAACAGTTCATAAACACTTGCAACAGAAACTTTGTCTGCAAAACATGAGAAATTTTCAAATAACTTTGTGATTGATTTATCGGAATATTTAAGTAAACTTAAACAGAATGCTAGATCAACCCATTGTCTTTCATCCCTGTAAAATAAGAGAAAAATAAAAGTTAATTTTTTGATAAAATAAAAGTTGATCAATTGTGTTTAGTCAATACTTACAATGTATTTTTAAATCTTTGACACATTTTTTCTAAAAGTCCAATAGTATGGCGTTCTTTGTCGATTAACTCAAAGAGGAAGCGCATTATAGTTCTGAAATCATTCTCTTCTATGCCGACTTTAGCATCAGATAAATTACTGATGATATCAGGTAAAACATTATAAACAGCGTTAAGTTTTTTGCTCAATTGAGTGAAAAATAGTTTTGCGAAAGATGAGATACTATCCTCTTTATCAACCATTAGTTTGGCAATTTCACTGATTTGATCTTGAACTTTGATCATATCAGAAAGTATCAGACGGGATATCACTTTGAGTGCGTTGGTTCGAACCAGAATACATTCATCTCTTAGAGATTGGTATAAATGGGAAGTCCATGGTTCCAATAGATTAGGAAATCTAACACAAAGATCACCAACAGCAATGATTGTATTTGACCGAATAATTGGATCTTCGGCTTTCTTAAGAATGGTAACCAATAAACGTAAATTATCTTTACAAAATTTTTCACTGATGGTCATAAATTTAGCCAAAGTTAAACTTGCTGCTGTCTTTAATTGTTGATTGGGATAATTTTGTGGGTCACTGGCAACTTTGATAACGAGTTTAGCCAAACGAACGAGTAAATTTTCAAATCTATCATTTGGATCAACAATCTCTGAGTTACAGAGTGAAGCTATAAATTCAGCCTCAGCGTCTTCTGCTGAAACAACCCCAGTTAGTCCCATTTCTTCTTCCTCTTCTTTTCCAGCGCCCATACTTTTTCTCCCAGACTTTCTTCTCATTGAAATAGTAGTTTGCGATAAGCTTTTCCTATTTTCTCGTTCTTCTTTGATGGCATTTCGCGTTTTTAGTTCAGTAAAAACATTCACCTCTAGATGAATTAACAAATTCATGGCAATGGAGCCGATACAAGAGATAAATCTTGCTAAAAGTTTCGGTGAGATCATGATTGGGGCCGTTGAAGAAGTACTTAAATTAGTTGAGGATACTTTAGAAGAATGTTGGCTGGAAGGTGATTCTTTATCGCTCAAGTTCTTACCATCCTCTGAGGCTATTGAGCTATTAGATGATTTCGATTGATTAAGTTCCATCAAACATCTGATCATGCCGTATAGAATATCTTCAGCGATCATATCAGGATGTTCAGCTAGATTGAAAACAACTTTTAAGGCCTCTTCGCACATTGGAAACCATCCCTCAAGTTCGATAAGAGGAAAGGTTTCAACAACAACTCTAGAAATATTTTCAAACACAGAATGATTTTTGAGAAGTCGATATGGAAGTTCAGTTGTGACAATTCGTCCTTGATTCGTCATAGCTTTGGAAAGAGCTGTACAAGTGTAACGGGCAAGTTTCAAATCTGTCAGGGCTCGATCACCAAGTCCAACTGAAACAAGAATATCAAGATTTTTTCTGATTAATTGAGGATTAGAAGAAGCCAACATGGAGATCAATTGAACACAAATACGACTCTCTTCCTCGGTAGTTTGAGCTGAACGAAGCGCAAATTTGTCCCAAAGTAACTGCATTACGTGTTTATCGAGATCATTTGAGTTATGAATTTCACGAAGTAATTCTTGTAGGGAAATAATTTCATCTAAATTAGATCCTTTAACTAAATCAATTAGTTTCTTCACAACAGATCTGGCTTTCTCTAATCCTGTCTTATTAGAGTTTTCAGGAGCATTAAATAAAATTCTTTTGTAAGCATCAATTACTTCTTTTTTTGTGCCATCAGATGAAAATATTAAAATGATCATCTTCCTGAGTCCAACTTCAGCCTCTTCCTTGATACCAAATTCATAGGCAGTGACCAAAAAGTTGATAGCTTCTTGAACATCTTGAATATTTTTTGAGTAGAGAAGAGTACAAACCAATGGGACAGATGACTTCAAATAACGTGTTACTTTCATAATGTCTTCAAGATAGCGGATAAGATTCTTCTGCTTTTCAATCAATGAAAGAATTTTCTCAAGAGACTCTTCTTGAGAGCTTGCAGATTGAGTAGTATTCGGATCAGCTTGGCTTCCTCCTTTGATTACTTTGCTAATTTCACCTCTCATACTCTCCTCACTTGTAAAGTCTGTCTTATTATTATACGTTTCCATAAAAACGTTTTTGCAGAACAACACAATCTTTTGAGTAACATTTTCATCATTAGATGGAACATCTTCACTTTCTTGGGTAGAACTTTCATCGAGAGCTTCGCCATCGGCTTCGTTTTCTTTGTCCTCTTCACTTTTCTTTTCATTTTCAGAGTCACTCTCGTTATCATCAACTCCCTTTTCCTGAGATTTCTTTGATTGATCCTTATTTTGAAAAATATCTTTATCAGGGAAGTTTGCTTTGATAAGTCCATAAAGCTTTATAACGTTAAGAAAATTACGTTCATCTAACTCCGTTTTAACCGAATCGATTAAATCTTCAAAGTTTTCCAAATCCTGTTCTTCATCATTTTCATCGTTTTCAATTATCTCTTCGACAGCTTGACAAGAATTCAGCAAAAACTCGAGCAATTCTGTTTCAATAGAGTGCCAATCATCCAATGGGTCAGATTGATTTAGTTTTTCTCCTTTATTTTCTAATTGTTCTTTCAAAGTCAATAACTCTTTGAGCCGATTTTGGGCTTTATCGTGGGCATCAACTATAACTTTTAAGTCAAGTTGGATGGCAAAGATATCAGAGCTAAGGAAATAAGTGAGAAATTGGACTGCATATTTCCTAACATAGGTTGTTTTATCTTGAAGACGACCGACCACAGTTTCCATCAGTGAGTCAAGTTTTGCTAGTGGAATCTTACGTTCTTGACAAAGCTTGGACCAAACTTGCAAAGCTCTACCTCGAGTATATGAAGAAATATCAAGCAAATGAAGTTCCAATTTATTCAAAAGTTCATCTCGCAGATGTTTCTCCCGTGAAGTCATCTTGTCTTGACTTAGATTTTCCGATATAATCGTCCCAATGATTGAAAGAGTAGCATTTCTCATCATGTAAGAGTCTTGTTCAAGAAATGGTAGCAGATTAGCGATAGAATTCATCATTTCTTTTGGACATTTTTCGGCAACTTCACTGAGGAATGAGGAAATAGCTTTTGGGCCACTGGAGTCTCTTGAAAGTTCTTTTATATCGATCCTCTCAATTTCACGAATGATTTCACTAATCAATAAACTCTGGTTGTGATTTTTTACGACAGATGAAACCAACTGAGCCAAAATTGAGACAAGATTTTCTCGATGCTGAAGAAGTTGAATTATTTTTAAGCAAAAACCTGTTAAAGAAAAAAGTTAATTTTAGAATTTTAAGGTTGTAAATAAAATGATTATAAAATGAAATGCAATAATAACAGTAGTAAAAAAATTACCTAAACTTCCAGAGTATTTTTCAATTGTGTATCCAATTATGTGGAAGACGCTATCCATCAAAGGTTTATTACGATGAAGATGCTGATTTTCAACTAATCTCCAGCAACATGATGAGATACATCTAATTAAATCTTCCTCAACAACAGCAGGTTGGAAGAGCAATTGCAAAGGCATCAAAATCAACTTGTAGATTACATTGATAGATCTCTCTCGTTCCCGTTCATAATTGTTGATGACAGGTTCAGTTTTCTTTTTAGCTGACATACGTACGTCAGTGTGTTCATTTTGTTGCCATTTGTTGGAAAGCGGAGAGCCTTCTATTATTTCAATTAAGGAGCCAACAGAAAAAATGAGCATTTTGAGTAGGTTACAATGGCGAAGTTTTTCCTCTAGATCAGTAAGAACGGTAGAACGAGACTTCTGGAATTCATGTGTCAAATCATCTTCGAATTTGACTAGAATATTCACCAGCGTTTTAAGTAAAATATTTTTCTCTTTGGAATTAAGCGTTTTGAAATTCCTTGAAATAAGTATAAGATGACAGATTAGAAATATGGCCAAATGAGATGAAGCAAAAAATTACTTACTTGATGCCACTGTAAATATAATCAAAATCCTTTAAAATGAAAGTTGGCCCTTCTAGCTTGAATTTGGCATTGAATCCTGTTCACAAATATAAAAAAAGTTAAAAAAACAACGATTCAAGGAACATTGTAACTGTTAACAAAAAGATAAACTTACCATCCAGATAATCATTTATTTCACGAATAGAATATTGCTGTGAAACAATGTAGCTACGTGCATCAGAGACGGCAAGTAGGTCCTCTAATTTATTAGGAATAGAAAATTTAATCATTTTAACATTAGATTGTGATAATTAAAATAAAATAAAATCAAAACAATTTTAGTCACATTAAAAAAGGTTAACCGCCAAATCCTTTTTTCTGTTTTGGATTTCAAATCTGTAGATCGATTAGATCGATTAGATCGATATAAATCGACTTCATTTTGAAAATTTTCTCGTAAAAATCTGAGGTTCAGTTTTGTTTGAATTAATGCTTTGATTATTTTATTAATATTTATTACAACAATTAATATTCAATAATCAGTTGTCTAATGGAGCAGTTCCGGAGCATTTAAGGCTAAGCCTGTAATTGTAACTTTTATCAATGCAAGTCTGAGAAAAGGTCTTAGAAAATTCGCGCCAACTTCAAAATACTTTAACTTCATTCAGGCACAATCAATATTATATGATCTTCTTCATGAAGTTAATTTTTCCCAAGCTCAGGGATACCCACTTGAATCGATTATTAACAGTTTTGCCAATCCACTGTTTACTGATTCATAAATTTTACTTGAAAGGTTCTATGAGAGGTCTCCTGTAGGTCTTAACAGTTCGTAAATTGTTATCATGGGTTGACATTCTCTAGCAAGATTGGTCTGGCTTGATTATCATAAACAAAAGATTTAGTCGCTTCTTAATTAAATTATAGTAGATAAATTTATTGCATTTCATTCCAAAATTATATTTAAGGAAGTTGTGACAAAAGTATTGTAAAGGAAAATTTAAATTTATGAAAGTAAAAAATTATTTACTTTAGAATAGTTCATTCGGAAGTATCTTAAAAAATGTATTAAAGTTAATTAAGCATTGTTTTTTGAATAATGTGACCAGAGTTTATCAATGCACAAGCGCGAAATCATAATTTGATGGTGGATCAGGAATTTTCGGTGGTACTTCTGGAATGGTTACACCCTCAGTGTCAAGTAAACGTAATTTGATTTCCATTGAGAGTAAAGTCTCTAGATCATTTTGTGCTTCTTTGCTTATCATTTCATTGCCAAGAAGAGCATTTATTCCATCAGTCCAATAATCAAAAACTTTCTCACTGGGCGCGACAAAATTTAATGGTTCTCCTTGGAATGATTCAGAAGTAAGGGAAAAAGCTAACGCGAATGTAGATTTTTTACTACTTTTGGCATCCTTCATATGGGCACACTCTTTTCCAATGAGCATCTCTTTGATGTCGTTGATTGCAAGTTTATGAGGTAATTCATCGATTGATGGGATCTTATTTTCATCACAGTCACCGTAATACAAGACTTTGAATTTATTTGACAAACGACAGTACCAAAACTTGTCTTTGATCCTTTGACCTGAAAGAATCAGAGAAAAAAGATTAATTATTAAAACCAAATTCAGATGACTTATGGATGCTTACCTTTGTTGGAATACTTCACAAATTGTGTGCCTTCGGTTAAATATTGTAATCTTTGTTGTTTTATAAGCTCAACTATTTCTGGTTTCAATTTTTCCCGCAATTCTAATATAGCTTGAGCCTTATTTTCCCACTCTTCTCTGCTACTTCTTTCTTTCTGCCACAAATTCATTATTGTTGAATAGGTTAATGACGAGGTTTTGGCTTCAAATTTTGCGAATGAGCTGATTGCTTCTTGATCAGAAAGTGCTCTGAGTAATTGTTGTCTCAATACAGAAAAAACTTTAGCAAAATCTTCACTTGTTGCTTTCATCTCTTTCCAAGTTTTGTTTAGCAATGGAACACAAATACAGAAAAATTCTTCAACTGGATGATCAGCGTTGAAAAACATTGGATAAAACAATTTTCCTTCATCACTAGGTGCTTCGCCAATTTTGAACAATTCTGCAATCAACTTAGTTACTTGAATTGCTGATTTAGCGAAAGGACATTCATGCTCACGATCCGATCTCATACAATTTTCCAATACAACATTACGGTATTTTTCGGTGTGATTCCTAGCGAAATAAGACATCAGGTCAAGGGCTAATATTCCAGGTGGTGTTTCATTGAAATCTTCGATTGGATTTTTATAATTTGTGAAACCAAGTCGAATATAATCGTTTTTTGCACTATTGGATTTAAATGTAGATGACGATATGATACTTCTTGTTCCACTAGACCCACCAGATCCTCCTGAGTTAACACTGCCGCTACTACCAACTCCGACTCTTGAGCTTATATCCATATTTAATCCCTGGTCACTTTCAAAAGCGAGCTTCATCAATTCAACCAGTTTTTCTCGAGCTTCACTTTCTAGTATGACACTAGTTGTTGGTTTTGCTTGCATTCTTTCTTCATGCAAATTAATCAACGAAGTTTGCAATATGTATAATTGATGAGCCATTTCAGATCCAACTTGAACAGATGATGAAGATGATAGCATTGACGATGTTACTCCTGTTCCAGTGCCTGCTGTTGTATTGTTTGATGCTGTTGATATTAATGATGTTCCTCCTAGTCCACCTCCAGATAGCGATCCTATAGCAGATGTTGAACCCATTGATGATGATACAATTGTAGAACCATTATCATCCGTTCTAGAGACATTTATAATATTTTCCAAAATTATCTTCCGCATTTGTTTTGAACTTAATGTAGCGGCGATAGCTTTTTTCTTTGATAGGTCTGAACGTAGAAGAAGTGCATTTATCAAAGCAATCGTATTCTGTTGAATCAATGGGTATTCCATATTTTGCTTTACATGTTTCATCAAGTTGGGTAAAGTTACTTCAGCCTCAACAATGGAATTGAATGCACTTCCTGACATCAGTAAATTTTCCAGAATCGCAAGTGAGTTTATTAATATCTTTGGGTCATAAGATTTCTCGGAGTTGACATTGTTTGCGATTACAGCAACAAATTTGGGTTCCAATGAGTCCCAACTGCATAGACCATGATTCATAAGCTCAACAAATGCTTCAAGAGCTAGTCCCAATCCTTCTTCTGGTCTTATTGTTCCATGCTCGATTGCTTTAACAAGATATTCTTTACCTTCTTTAGCAATAAATTCTTCAACAAAAGCAACATCACTGCACAGTTTGACCAGTGAGCTCAAAATGGTCCGCTTTTCATCAGTGCTTGCCTTTTCTATCCTTTCTAATATAGTGGATGCTGTTTTTGAAGCCGATGGCACTAAATTTAAAATAGTGCCATTACGTATTTCACTGCGATTCTTTTCTGTAACATAATTTTCTCGATCAACAAATTGAAGGGAGTAATCTGAGCTTGGACCTTCTATACCCCAGTTGTTGAGAAATTGCTGAATCCAGGCATCTAATGGTCTTATTTGATCAAATTCAATCAATAGAGCGTTCTATAAATCAACAAAATTTGGAATAAAGTATTAAATGATAATTCAAAATCAATAAAAAACGTCCGATTCATGCGAAATTTGACAAAAGAGAAATGTACCCACCTTATTCTCCATTTTGACAGCAATTTTCACAGAGCTTGGATCTTTAACTGCACCCATCTTGCCTTGTTTTTGATCAACCAGAGTTTTCAATTACTATGACTTTTAACTTTATGATTAAAATAAGAAATCAAAACTGTTGCTGAATGGCGAAAAAATTTAAATTAATAAACAAGAGAAATACATCACACTGTATTTTTGTGTTTGACACTTCGGATTATCAGATAAACAGATGATTCACATATGGTAAACAATTTCGGTCAGGGACAAAAGACAAAAAACTGGGCAAAAGGCGAAAAGTGACTGAATTCACGCAATAAACCGTCTTAGGTAGTTTGACATATAAAAGTATTTCGAGTTTGATGAAATGTTGATTTATTATTGTGTATGCAAACTGATTTCATTAAACATTGCTATTCACCTAATCAACATCACTAACAGTTATGCCACTAAGCTCCCAGCTGATCCCAGCTGTTTCAGTGGCTGAGCCCAAACAGACCTTTAAATTTAATATTCAAGATCTCTTTCCGATACGATAGTCAAAGCACTAAATACAACATTTTTTATCATTTAATTAAAAACAACCTAAAAGTGACTTAGATTTGGTATTTTGAGTCTTTTATGTCGGACCTTAACGTTATCAAACTCAAACTTAGCAGTCTTCTTATTCTTAATTTTGAATAAATTAAATTCTTGACTGTAAATTAGCTTCTTATGTGGTTGATGATTATTGATTCGAGTACCTGAGCGAAATCGACAAATCACTCAAATAAAAAAATTGTAAAGTCTAAAGACGCCATGAAAATGTGTTAACTTTGTTGACTCGATGGTTGCCAAAGCTTTGTCAACTTTGCACTATTGATTACAAAAGTTTTGATAAACTCATGTGTACTTTTCTCGATGATGACCAGTTCCACGAGTAAGTCTAGATTAATTTTATAACTACCGAAATATCGGTGAACGATTAGTAAGTGGTCATTAAGTAACTACAGTTACTTCTTTTCTCGATTAAATTCAAAAGCCTTTTTTATTGAACCTTTCATAAAACATTTTCTTTTCCTTCAGTAGATGGAGCTATGAAAAAATAGCTTTTTTCTAGACAATTTTGGATTTTTGTTTACAATACGTGTTATTATTAATCGATGTTTTTTTAATTAATTTCCCTTAATCGCAATCAACGATTAGACTTTCTTCATTGTCTTAAGTAAATTTTAAACAGTCTCTATACGATTAAATCATCTAAACGCGTTTAATTTCATTGTTGTGAGGCGTACAACTTGACTATTGTCAACTTCATTCTCATTCTTTGATGGTCTGTGACACTCCTTCTTGTTAGAGGTTAAACTATCGGACGGTTTACATTTATCTATTGTTTTAATCTAAATCACTTTTACTCAGGAATCGATTAAGAAAAGTATTATAAATCAATCTATCAAATATTATGGGTGATAAGGAGATGAATGAAATATCTCCAAGTTCAACTTCCTCCTCTATTCATGGTGGTTCTACTTCACCTTTATCTTCCTCATCTTTGCTTCCTTCATCATCTCAAAGTATCAAGTTAATTGTTAAAGCTCCTATCCAAACGGTCGAGGACAAGATTGTTGATTGTGATTTGACTTGGACTGTGGCTAAGCTTAAAGCACACATTAGTGAAATATATCCCAACAAGCCTGTAAGTAAACAAGAAGAAATCTGAGTTTGTTTTTATTTTGTTTTCTTTTCATTATTGTATCGTGTATTTTCATTTTCAACTAGTTCAATCCTGTTTTCTTTAAATCTCTAGTTTCAGTTAATTAGCCAATTAGGAGTAATTAAGTTCATTTGACAACAAAAACAGTCAACTGTTTAACTGCGATCACTTTTTGTCATAATCTAACCTTGACAACTCTTTTCATTATCAAGCTTTTAAAATGCGAAATTTGCCATTCTCCTTATCAGTTTACTGTCGCTTTTCTGTTTATTTGTACTTCAGCTGTAAATTCCAATTGAACTCAAGTGATTGACTACATTTACATTACTGTTATTTTTTTATTGCTGTTTTTATATCATTAAATAATTGATATTGTATAGTAATGTAATTTTACTCTTTTTTTCATCACCATAGTAACACTGATCTCGTATTACCTTTAGTTGTCACTAATCCATAAGTTGCTTAGTTTGTTTAATTTTATCAATATTGTGATCCAAATATCTAGTTATGAAATTAAAGATATGCTCACTCTTTCAGAAATGTTCAACTTATGATGTGGCTTATTTTGACTAGTAGTTTACTTATTGAAGGCCTTTTATATTTATAAGCAGCTATGAATTTGACTTCTGAGTTATAAATCTTATCCTTATTCATTTTAGTCTTCTAATTATAACAATTTCAAATTCTTGCGCATTAATCTTACATCTCTAGTTTTGCTAATTATTTCTCCAATCTTTCCCAATCTCTCAGAGTGTTAATGATCAACGCCTGATATATTCTGGTCACCTTCTAAAGAACGATCAAGTTCTTGGAGATATCTTGAAAGCGCCAAGTGATAATTCAACTTATACAGTCCATTTGGTTTGTAACGTTAAGTCATCTTATTCAACTAAGCAACCACAACAATCACAACAGAAACAAGTAAATTCAGAGCAACCGTCAAGCCAGGAGTCTTCCAATCAAATGAGTGACCAAGCCCAAAATGTCGCCCCTTCTGTTGCTGAAAGTAACACCGAACCCGAATCACCCAATAACACCCAAACCGAATTCAACCAAAATCATCAACATCTATTCTCTCAAGCAACTTTAGCAGGACTATTCTCTGGATATCCTTTTGTCTTGCCTACTAACTACCCTTGGACCAATTTTGTTAACCCAACGGAATCAGGAAGTGATTTTTCCTTACCTTCAACAAATCTTGGAGGTGCTAGTGTATCAATGAGTTTGGATCAGTTAACACAAAATGTTGCCTGGATGTCTAACCTATTGCAGTTTCAAATGTTTCAGCAAATGTATGCCCAGTATTTGGCTCAACACATGAACCAAGCAGCATTAACCCTTTCACCACCTCAGTTACCTGATGTTTGTTTACTTGATGGCCAATTACCTACACAAATTACGTCAGCTGCTGTATCAACATCAGCTGCTGTCCCTCAACCGTCTCAACGTAATATCAACAATGCTAATAATAATAATAACAATAATATAGCTGATGCTGCTCCAGTTCAAGAGCCGATTGTAAGAGCTCGTCTCGAACCCGCAGCGCCTGTACCCGGGGTCAGATTAAATCCAGCTCCTGCAGTAGCTCCTGTTGACGAGGAAGAGGACATTGTTCAACGTGATTGGATTGATTGGCTTAGTTTGATAACTCGAGCTGTTGCTTTGGCCAGTTTTATCTACCTTTATGCATCATTTGGTCGTTTTATGCTGGTCACTGTTTTATACTTCTTATATCGATTCATAACAAGCGCAGTTGAGGCCTATAATGCTTTCCTAACCATTGGAGCTCCTAGGCAGCCTGTGCCAGGTGATCAGCTAAATAATCATGGAGCGAATAATGATGCTGATAATCATAATAATAATAACAATAATAACAATAATATTGATAATAATAATATAATCCCCAACGATGATCAAAATCATTTACAACAAGTAATGGATGGTAACATTGATAATCATCATGCAAATAACAACAGCAATAATGATAATAATCCTGTGGATGGACGAAGAAGCTCCAATGAGCAATCTAAAATTCGCTTATTATTCACCATGGTTAAAGCTCTCTTTTCATCGTTGATTCCATTACAACCGCCGCCTTTATATCCTAATCGGGGTTGAAAAACATTTATATAAAAAAACTGTTATTTTATTTGTAAATCTAACTAAATCCACCGATGGAAATGACAGCCCTTTATGATTGAATGATACAAACAAAAGACGTCCTTTGATTCGGATTATCAAATCCATCTTGTTTAACTACATCTATTATGATCAATTTAAATATTAAGAGAAATAAATATGTCATGTTGAATCCAGGCATCTAATGATCTTTTTCATCAAACTCAATCAATAAAGCGTTCTGTAAATCAACAAAATTTGGAATCTATCTTCTATAATATTAATACCGTTTTTTCTGTCAAAATTTCTCCGCACTCAATGGGTCTATAAATTTTCTGTTGATCGCAAATGAAAGGTTTTGGCCTGATAAATATACCAATTTTTAGAACCCGACCCTGAAACTCAGGAAAAGCTTACAATAAGAGGCCGAAATAGACAGAATCCAGGTTACTAAGAAAGGATTTTGCATAAAAACTTTGAATTTCGAGTTAAGAGTTGGGACTTTGTAGGTTTGTGAGGGTATAAAAACTGAGTCCATTAAAAAGTGCTATTCTAGTCAATTTTATTTAAGATTCATAGCAAATGGCACAGCCAATTAATCGAGATGACTCTCAATGATTCCTTTGACATTAAGGCTGCCGAGAAAGAAATGTTGAAAATAGCCACAACATTTGAGAATCACGACAACCGACAAACATTACCTCGAACAAGTCTTCCCATTTTTTGGCTAACCTTTCAATCAAACAGTAAACGTATTCGGATAAATCAGACCTTATGATTATATAGACAAGATGTTTTAATAGTGATAAATGATGGTCCATCCGATAAACCATTTTTTGGTCTTTGACCAGAATCTTCATAATTTTTTATCCCTTCACCATTCCTGAGTCTTTTGTCTACCTGATAAACACTGAGTCCTGAAATTTCTACAGCCTCAAGAATTTCGCCACATTGATGCAAAGAAAGTTCAGGATAATTAGAGATTAGTTGTGAAATCAATCTACGTTCATCACAATGTTTAAGGTCGATTTTCTGATTTAATATTGAATCAATTTATGCAAAAATATATCAAAATGATCCTTATATTTCAACTAACAACTTAGCATGAAAATGGTGCCAGAGTGTCTAGTCTATGAGGACCTATGACTAAAAAACCGTTTGGTTGCAAACTTTTTAGGTCACATCTTAGTAAATCGATTGTGGATCAAGCGAAATTGACGAACTTGACTTGACGATCGTTCATGATGACCAGCAACTCCGTTTCCTAGCACAGTAACCTCCTGTTTAGTTTCAGCAATTTTCGCAGATGAGCCCAATCGTTGCAGTGGCTGGCGATGAAGCACGGATGATTATTCCAATGCTGGTTATCTACAAAACATGGCGATGTTGCTGTTCAAGATTTCCCAATCCAAGTAGACTTTGATTACAAGCCATTACAAGTTTAGAAAGTTGCGAAAAAATTTGGCTTAAGGATAGCTATTAAAGTATACATTAGTTTTACTGTTTTGTACTGAATCAGAGACAATTGTTGGTGAATTGAAACATTTGAAACTTTTAAATCGACTATCGTTTTAAACTTTGAGATTCAAAAATTCACCTACCTGGAGCCGACAATATAAACAAGCAAACCACAGATACCTGAGATCAAAGACAATAATTATTTAGATTTTGAATTTACTCTGAATTATATTCTTTCACGGATAAGGTCCATTTCCTTCCATTGGACTTTTTTCTAGGCTCTCGTAGATTGAGCACAACACCGAAGACAACTCTAATTACAATTTAAGTTTTTGAAGCAAATTACAATGATGAGCCATTGAGATGCTCGTAAGGTAAGTTTATAAATATTTTTGCAGGCTTGAAAAACATTTTAATGTCGATAATAATTTATGCTGTCTATTATAAACGGTTCTTATATTTTATTTACTCTGATTTCCTTTTTATACAGTTACTTCTCCTGGTTCACTGTTTCTTTGTGGAACTCTCCTTGTGCTTAAAATGTAAGAAAATGGTGTTGCACTCAAATCGAAACATGTTCCAAACTTTTTACGTTTCATTTTGAATTTCGAGTTAAAAATTCTTACGATAACCGACCATGATCTTGCCTACAAGTTATCTACCTTGGAAATGTGTTACCTTTGTGCGATGGTGGCAGAGCTTTACCAACTTTGTGAAAAAATTATTGTTTTAATGTTAAGCATGAAATCTATATGAAGTTATCCACATAAACATGGTGTAAAGCCTAACAATGGAACACGGACTCACTGAATATTCGTCTAACAGAACATATGTGACCACTGATCCTGATCACTAAAAAGTTTCTGTTGAGTCTAGCGTCATCTTGAGCATAAAATGAAACAAACATCAAATTTCCATGTATTAAGCAAACAAAGTAAAGCCAAGGAGATGGACTATGAACAAAGATAAATCAAGACAGAAATTTAGAGAAGAGAAAATGTACAAATAAAACTTTCGATTGCAATTCGGCTCCTCATTCCAACAGATTACTTTAATTCGTCAAGGAAGCAGCTTTTTATTAAATGTATAGCAAAATACAGAAAGCTTTGGAAAGAAAGTTAATGTCGATTGAAGACATTTTTAGACGAATCAAAGAAAGAAGATGATATTGAAGATGACGAGACAGAAGAAGATGCTAAATCCGATAGAAGCATTAACATCCTCTGAATGATCTCTTTCACAAATATTAACAAGCAACACTTATGCATCTTATACCTGTCTCATCGGTTGAATACATCCATTAATCAAATGATGATCAAACTTGATTAAAAATTACCTCGACACAACAAAAAAGAAAATGAAATCCCAACAAAATCTTTAGATCTGTTCCGTGAAATCGCCTGGATTCAGTATCAAATTAAAATATACATATGTAATATGAACAATAAAAAAGGTTATTTTGATGTGATATACTCTAGAATGTAGGTTTCTTCAAGGTTTACATGGTATCTAAATCAAGATCGTGCGGATGTTCATGATAGTTAACCAAATGAAAACACTTTTCTTCCTTTATGTTACATATTCCTAACATTCATATTCTTCCTACATGAATATTTTTATGTGCATATATTAATGAACACCAAAAAGTATTACTGTATTAAAGAGATTTACTGTAATGGTTTTTCTTAACCTCAACATTATGACTATTAAGGCGACAATCAATAAAAAATTTTATCATGAATTATGTTACAATGACAATGACAATGTAATTTCTAATCAATGGATGAGCTACTTTGCTGGTTACATTCAATGATTTATAAATAATGGTTAAACAATGATTAATTAAACTTGAAGAGATATTCAGTCGCGTAAAGAGTAAACTTGATTGAACCATATAATTTCTTACTCGATTAAATAGTGAAAATACTGTAATGATGATAAAAATGGTATAACAAGTTCCATGTAGATTCTATAGATAGTAAGGCACATTTTGATCGGCGTTGAATAATTATTTGCAGTAATAAAATGTTTTTTCTTTGATGATTATTAAGCAAAATAAGCACAGAATGTTGATTTTGTTTGAATCGAGGTTGGCTTATGATTTTACAATCATCAAGGTGAGAAATGGTTTGAAAACAGTACTTAAATCAAGAATTGGAAAGCAATGGTAATTCTAATGGAGGAAAACGTTGTTTTAATCATTGGAAGACTTGATTGGTTGATTAAGGCAACAATTGGAAATTAGCCATTTACACGTTGATTTTATTAACCAATTGAAAATAGACTCTGATAAACTTGAGCTTAACATTTGTTCAACAACTCCGGCCTTGGGATACTAATACATCATCTTTCGCAGGTGTAAAGATTGTGATCAGCCAATGAGTGATAGAATAAGATGATCATGGTGCGTTTATCATCGACATATGGATAACGATAAAATGGAAATCAAGTGTCTGGTTGGAATAATAAAGTATTCGGTGAGTGAAAGAAGATACCAGATTTATTATTTGATGTGGTAATTTACAAGAAAGAAAAATGTAGGTATGAATGACGGAAAGTTACATATGTATGTTCGGCCTGAATGAGATTAAGAAACTCAAGGTGTAATTTGAACTATCAGCAATTAATTTAAATTGGCTTAAAAATATTAGATCAGAGCAAAGAAAATAATTGAAGCAAATAATTATTAATAATTGAATGGATCAAGGATATGAGTAAGATTTAAAAAGAAATAGATGTCTCGAAATCAGCTCTCAAGAGACTGGACGAGAAAGAATGGTATTAAGTTAAAATAGAGGATAGTCTGGCTTTAGATGAAATGAAGTGAATGATTAAACTAATGAGAGACCAAGTGGAAAAAGAGAAAGATAGATGAATTAATTTATGGCTTGAAAAAAGTTATTCAGATTTGGCATTTTCCTCTCCTGAATTTGATTCATCATCAGCTGCATCCTCAGCTTTAAGATCTTTATTTTCCTCTGATTCTTTTGCCGCCTCTTCTTTTGAAGCTTTACTAGGTCTACCAGCTTTTCTACCTGAAGGAGCGGGCTTTTTCTTTGGCGCTGTTTTACCTTTTGGTCTACCTCTCTTTCCTTTTGGTTGTTCATCCTCTTCACCATCACTGGATAGAGCCCTTTTCCGTTCATTTTTGGCACTAGGCTTTTCAGTGTTATTCGCCTTGGGTCTACCACGACCACCTCGCTTAGGTTTCACCTCATCATCATCATTATCGCCTTTTCTTGCTCCTGCAGCTTGTTCCTTCATTGCATTTACAGCAGCAGTTGCCGCCTTTCTTTGGCTTGTTCGACTTCGAATTGGTTCTTGTACTGCTTTTGAAGCTTTCTCAGTACCAACATCATTATCGGTTTTTTCAATCTAAATTAATGAATAAAATTAAAATTTTAAAGTCAACAAATAAAACAAAAAGTAAAAACAAAATAAAACAAAATAAAATAAAGCAAATTTGAAACAGAAAGATTGGCAAAAAAACCAGAAAAAGAAAGACCAAGAGGTAAGAGAAGCAGAGAAGCAGAGGGAAAAGAGGATGAAGAAACACAATAAAATGTCAAACTTGCTCGAATGAAATAACAATTGTTTGTTAATGGTAATTGTTTTTTAACTTACCTCATCTCCTTTGACAGAATTAGTTAAAGCCATTGTGGCAAAAGCAAAAATATGACTATTTAATAAATAAGGATGAAATAATAATTAATAAATATTCAATGTCCAAAAGAACCTAGTTTTGGGAATTTATTTTCAAGTAAATTGTATTTCTCACTCTTACCAGCCGCTCATAGATGGCACTATAAACTCTAGCAAGTAGAAGCGCGAAATTCAATTTGCCATTCAAGTTCGTTTAATGTTTAGTGATGCGTTTCATTGAAGTGTTTTGATAAAAGGAAAAGTTTTTTCACGTTTTTATTCAAGACAAAATTTCACGAAATTCGGGTTCAAGTCACAGTTGAGAATGTATTTCTGTTTCATTAGAAATTTGTTACTCTGTTCTGGTAAAAACACCCGCTTGACAAATTTTGCTTTAAGAATCAAATTTATTGTGAGGTTTAATCGAAATTTTGATGAATTTTTGTGGATATAATTAAACTAGTGAAGAAAAGTAAAAGTAATTTTAAATTTTGGAATTGTCGTGTTTAATGATTTAAAAAATTCCGTTCAAGTATGATGATTACAAGTGAGATTAATGAGAGCAAAGTTAGGAAATCATCAAGCAAAGATGAATTCAATAGAAGTCTATGATAAAAAGTCAATGGCTATTCAATCTTTCACTCATTTTTACGCTTTGGCTTTTTAGGATTACGAGAGCGACTTTTTGCTTTACAGAGTGGACATATTGGTGCATTGCGATGGATTTGCTGTTGACATGAAAGACATGATTTCATTGGCGGAGGTTGTTGACGGAATGCAGGTGGACCCTGTCTCTCAGAAATAGAGTTGCTTGGTGTTGCACTGAATTGATGTGAAGCTGGACCTGATATCGGGTTAATCCTTGAGCCAGTTAGATTTTGTTTGAAAGTTCTTGCAGCTGTTGGTGGAACAGGGTTCAGATAAGAGTGAGGAGCATTGGAAGACATTGACAACATGGATTTATTCATCATTAGGTTAGTATTGATACTTTCATTATTAGAATGAACATGATTGGTAACATGTTGTCCTTTGAACAGTTCGTGTTTTATTTTATCCTCTTCATCGGATAACTCTGAAAGACGATTCAATCCTAATTCAGTTCTCATTCTGTTTGCATGTTCCTTCAATTGTTGCCATTCTTGAAGTAAAGATTTAGCAGCATTCAAATGATTGTTGTGTTCCTCTTCACTTTCTTTAATAACACTTTCCATCTGATGAAGATCCGAATGAATTAATCGCAATTCATCAACATGAGCCATTTTTTCTTGTTCAAGAAACTCTTTTTCCTTTCGATAAACAGATAAACAATTTTTCTCGCTTTCCATTGTCTCAATCTCTTGCTTTAGCCGTGATTTCAAGCTGTTTAGGTCGAATGTCACATCACTGCAAAGGAAACAACATAGATAGGTTATTGTAGTAATAGTGGAATATGTTAAAGTGTAATACAATATTAAGTGGACATTATTGTCAGTAATATCAACTTACCGCAACTCTTTAAGGTATTCCAATTTGGTGATAGCTATTTCATCCTCAGTTGATATAGAAAGTCCACTTGAAGGTCCAGCAGCCATTTTGAAATAAAAACACCACGAAGTAACAGAAAGATCGGATTTGAATGAATAGGTGATCAATCAAACAACTAGCAGAGAATTTTATGACCAGCAATAAAAACAAGTTGAAGTTACAATACTTGGGTTAGCTTTCAAGCAACCGAAAAGAAACTTTTTTTATAATCCTGTTTAAAGCTTTTGAAAAACTAGTAAACCACAATTTTCCTATCAGATTGAATCAAAATGTCGAATTGAATACATAATCTTTTTTATGAATATCACATCGACTCGATCGATTATAGAAAATGAAAGAGATCTGAGATGATCTCAGTGAGATCTGCATCGAATCTTTGTAGACACAATTGTCAATGTGTCTACTTTAAAAATCGTAAGATGGAGTAACCTCAATGACTCATATGATCCATTGAAAACTACGAAAACGCGGTAACCTGACAAACAACTTGCTTGAAACAAGTGCTTAATGAGCGTAATCTTTATTCCAATAAACAATGGTAGGTTAACGATCTGAGAATCTATGTAAATTTCATGTGATCCAAGATGCTAATCACCAAGATCCAGGTAAAGACTATCTGGTTTAGGCTATAAATTCTGAAAAAACATTCAAAAATAGGATAAAAATTAACAGTTCAAGAAATCAAAACATCTCGTGATGGCTATTAATTGCATCAAATTAAATGTCCATCGTGGAAAATGTGTCAAAATAACTAAACTGTTCACATGCGCTGAGTTAGTGAGCTACATATTAAGAGCTTTTAAGCTAATTGATATTGAACAAGTTAGTCATATGGACTGTGAATTTATCTGTTTATTAAAATTTCAATGATTGGAGTAAAAATATTAATTGATTCCCGATATTTGTGTGACAGTTAAATTGTGTTTGTTTGTAAAGTGCGCTGGATTTAAAAACCGTTTGGAGTCACTACTGGTTGATTGTTTACATCATTACAATGTGAATGTTTTGGTTTTTTTTATGTAAACAAAACTTGTATTGTTAACTTCAAATTTCAATTAATTAACAACAATGAATCAATGAACTGAGTTTCTTCTATATTGTGAATTTACTTTTCAAAGTACGTGTGATTAAAATGTCTTCTTTTAAGTGCGTTTACAATCGCGTTGTTGTCAGATACAATTCTGATCGTGAATGAAAAACTAGTGTTAGTTAATTTGAACCTTAAGCTACTATGGATACCGGAGAAGCTAACGAAAGGCCTACGAACATTCGTCAAAATATGGTTGATCCAGACATAGGATTGGCATTAGATGATGAAGTGGATTCATTAAATAGCCCAGAAGATGCAGTATCTATCGAAGCGAGACTCGAACAATTTCGGGATAACTGGAAAAAAGAACTCAAACTGAAGACAACATCTCACGATAATGAAAATGACACATCGGTTAAAAATAAATCACCAAGAGATGCAGCCATAACTCATAGTAGAGGTTCGTATAGAAGGTTCAGTTAGATAATTTTCTTTATTCTAATGAGTTAAAAATTATCCTGAGTCCGATTCAACTAAGAATTTTTTCTTCAGATTATGATGGTAAAGATGTATCTGATATGGAACGCCAAGCTGCTGAATTATTTGAAAAAGGGAGTAATTTGGAAGCAAATGGAAAATTGTACGATGCTGTTGCTTGCTACAGACGAGCAACCCAACTTGTGCCTGACATAGAAGCAAGAATGTATTTTAAAGAAAAAGCTAATCGAGAGCAGCGTAAACTTGATCAAGAAAATCAAGACACTAATGTTGATGTTTCAATTGAATCCAAGGAAGACACAAAAGAACTCGACTTTGAAGATGAAATCAACTTAGTTTTGAAATTTAATTCGCTCAATATCAGTGACAATGGAAAATTTTTCATCTGTCAACCATCTATTCCAACTCGCTCAACTCATTTTTCTAATCTTCCGTACGAAGTTGTGCTTTATATTCTTCGTTGGGTTGTTTCTGATGAGCTTGATATGAGATCATTAGAAACCTTTGGACAAGTTTGTAGAGGTTTTTATATAATTTCAAGAGAACCCGAGATTTGGAAACTTGCCTGTCTTCGAATGTGGTCTGCACCTATCATTGACCAAGAAGATTTTTCTCTTTATAATGATGATTGGCGTACAATGTTTCTTGAAAAACCTCGAGTCAATGTAAATGGTATCTACATTAGTAAAGCATCTTATGTTCGCCAAGGAGAAGCATCTTTTCAAGATGTGAATTATCGACCCTGCTATTTGGTTGAATACTATCGGTACCTAAGATTTTTTCCTAAAGGTATTAGCTAAGAAGGTTTATCGAGAGTATTTTTTTAAAATTATCTTCTTTCATTTAGGAGTCATGATGATGTTAAACACGCCTGACGACCCATACCAAACCCTGCCAAAACTCAGGTCTCAAAATGCTAGCAATCTTGCAATCATTAGAGGCCACTATAGAATTCATGGTTCCAGGATTAATGCTGTTTTAAAAAGTCGAACTTCTTCTGTTGAAAGAATAACTTTTGGTAAACGCGGACATAAAAACCGACCGGTTGTCTCAGAGAAAGACTACAACATTTCATTGGATATTCGCAATGTAAAAGGAAGTCGTAACAATCAACTTGTTTGGAGCAGCTATTCGGTAGTTTCGAAAAAAAACAATGAATTTGAATCATACAATACTTTCGATATTGTTAGTTTGACTAAATTCCCTCCGTTTAGGTTCAGTCGAGTCAAATCTTATGGTCTTACATCCATGGCTCCTTTAATGTAAACCAAACAGATAAATTCAAATGTATACGTTAATACATTTTGTAGTTATAAACATGTAAGATATTTTGGGTGATATTTTAAAGGGGTAAATTGTTTCATTTCTGTATACTAATGGTTGGAATTGTTCAACTCATTTATAAAAGTTAAGAATGAAATAAATTCAATGAACCTTTTCGAAAATGAAGAAAATAGATTTGCATAAAAACTGCCAAAAATCGCATAAATTTTGATTGTATCAAAGGATTATCAAGATTCAATCGATAGATAAAAATCTTGTAAATAATCAAAATCTCAAAAATCTCAATTTAATACGAATTCTGTTTTGCTCATGGACCTGAATTTCTATCTGAACTATGAGTTTTTTTCGTGGATGCTTCCGAAATACATCTTGTTACTTTTTAACCAAATAATTAATCCATTTCCGTTTAAAATCAAAGTAGATTGAAAGTCTAATATCGGTGTATTGTTTATATTTATAAAGTTTTAATGATTAAACTGATTTGATTGTTTAAATCGGTGTCAGATTACAAGTCATGTGTTCTTGTAACTTTTTTGGGAAGAGATGCAAGATATTCAACTCCAATCATAACGAGAGACGAGGTCAAAATCAAAAATGACAACCGATATTTGTGAAAATGAGATTTTAGAATTGCCTGCAACATACAATTACATCAAAAAAGGGTTTGAATGAAATAGAACAAAAAATTCCCAGTCAAGGTGTGTAAAATGATTTACTAGGAATAGGATTATGATCAATTGAAACGAGACCCAGATGAGTACGAACTATCATAATAAGGTTTTTTAGCGTTAGAGTTAGATGCAGCATCGAAAGAATCGAATTTTCTCTTTTGAGGATAGCCTGCGCCATTTCCATTAGAATTATTTCCATAAGAGTTATTATAGCCATTTCCTCCTCCTCCTCTTCCAGAATTGTAGGAGTTCTTTGGAATGAAACCATTTCTACTTGAACCATATCGACGGTACTTATCTGGTCCACCACCAAATCGAGATAATTCGAGTAGTTTAGGGTTAACTGTTTGGTTAGCTTCTTTAAGAACATTGATCAAGTCATTAGCTTGTTTAGAATTGCCTTTGGTAAAGAAAGTGTATGCAGTTCCTTTTTTGTTTTTACGACCAGTTCGTCCGATACGATGGACATAATCCTCACTTGAGTTGGGATAGTCAAAGTTGATGACATATTTTATGTCTTCGACATCTGAAAATTGAAATGAAATTAGAATGAGATAACGAGATGATAATAAAAATAAACTGCGCTTCATTGCGTAGCATCATCAGTCCATTTTTGAATCTCCAGATTAGATCATCAAATTATGACCGAATTATTAAATGAGTTGGTTGAAGTTAAATTTGAAAAACATCCATTGATTTTTTTTCCAAAAAAACAAATATATGAATAAAGCATCCAGGAACTAAGTTCAATAATTTTGACCCAAAGGAACAACTTACTTACCGTTACTCCTTTGGTTCATGGTCAAGAGAAGAGAACTCAAAATTGGAGAAATTATGATTTTGTTTTCAGATTGAGCCGATTCCACATTATGACCCAGATCAGGAGTCACTTTAGTCATCGGCGTCATTCCCAGATGCAGTTATTCAAGACATTTACATGTCTGTTTCCAAATAAATATGTTCCTTCAAACTAAAGAAATCGAATTCATCGATTTTCATTTTATCTTACCAAGTCCTCGAGCAGCTACATCAGTAGCAACTAAAATAGGAGCCTTTCCACTTCTGAACTCTGTAAAATAGAAAATAAAAACAAAATATTAGAGAAATACTATAAGTAAAAAGTCATATACAAGAAATTTATAAAGCGTAATAATGTGAAAACCAGCTTAATAGCTACAAAATAACGACTTCAATAAAAATTGAATTAGAAATTTCAATACTAACCTTTCAAAACCCAATCCCTTTCCGATTGACTCTTGTCACCATGAATACACATGGCAGGCCAATTAGAGTATCTCAATTGCTTTGTTAAATCATCAACCTTTCTCTTGGTCTCAGCAAAAACTATGATTTTATTTTCACTATTCTCTTTTACTATTTCAGTAAGAAGACTGAAAAGTTTTTCTTTCTTCTCCATGTCACCACAAACTTCAACAATTTGAGTAATATTGTGGTTAGCATGTAGTTGGAGAGCACCAACATTAATTTGAATGTAATCTTGGAGAAACTCTTCAGCCAAAGTACGTACTTCCTTTGGCCAAGTGGCTGACCACATGAGAGTCTGCCTTTTTGCCATTGTGATTGTAGCAATTATCTTTCTAATTTGAGGTTCAAAACCCATATCTAACATACGATCAGCTTCATCTAAAACAAGATAACTAATATTGGCTAGGCTAATAATGCCGCTTTCTATAAAGTCATTGAGTCGACCAGGAGTGGCGATGACAAGCATTGGCCTGTTGCGTGTGATTTCTTTGATTTGAGGGCCTTTTGAAGCACCACCAAATACACAGACATTGCCGAATCGGGTTTGAAAATGATTGACTACTTCTTGGATCTGCTGAGCAAGCTCTCGAGTTGGAGCAAGAACCAAAGCCATTGGACCATAATCTACAATGATAAATAGAAGGGTTATAAATATAGTGAAATTGAGTTTAAGCTCTGGTATAGTATTTATAAAGTAGAAAGAATAAAACAAAACCAATAGCTAAACAGGCATGGGAATGGGAGGGCAACGTGAATTTTAGCTATTCATTACCATGGGGACTAAACATTAATTCATAATTCAATTCGTTCTTACCTCTACGTTCATTCAATTGTGAGTCAATGTGTATAAAAGCAGGGATGATATAAGACATAGTCTTTCCACTACCAGTTTGGGCAATTCCAACCATATCTCGACCAGCCAAGGCAATAGGCCATCCTTGTGCTTGAATAGGAGTTGGCTTATCATAGCCTTGTCTAGAAAAACCAGCTGAAATGGACTTAGGCCAAGGATAATCGGTAAATTCCATGATCGGTGGAGGTACATTGCTTCCTCTGATGGTGATACCTTCCTTTTCTCTGAAAACGGTTATATCTTGTTCACTATAGTCAGATCGCACATTTACTCCAGTGTAAAAATCACTTTTCACTGTTAAATTAGCAGGAGGTTTTGGAGTTGGGGTATTATTACGATGATAACCACCACCACCACCACCACGATTATTATTATAACCGGCACCGTAGCTTCTATATGAGGACATGATGTTTTAATAAGTTAAGTAAAGTAAGATTCAAAAACAATTTTACTAATTACAATCAAAAATTAAATAAAGAACAAGCAAGGTAAACCAGGCAACTCGTTTATATACTTCAAGAAAATGGCGTCCAACACGTTAACTACAATTGGCTTACAAAGCCATGCTATAGAAAGCTTCCTCCTTTTATACTCTAGATGGCGTCGTTAACATTTAAAAGGATTTAGCTTAAATGTATTCCGTTTCCGGAATTGTTGTCAAGGTAATCTCAGGTAATTAATAAAATTTATAATTAACCAACTGAATGCACAAATGTCTCTATCGAATCTTCAAATTTGTATTTTATCGAGTCTTAACAAGAACGGTTCATTGATAGAAATAGTGAAAAAATCACAAAAATGATTGCTATAAGCATAATCAAATGAATTGATTTTTAATTGAACTCTTCACATTTAAGGAATTGAATTGATAAAAGCCAGACAGTCTAGGGAAGAGTTTCATTGAATTGTTTCATGTTGAATCAAAGAAGAAACGTTTAGCTTTTGGTTTTCTTGTTGAACTATTCTTGCGTGTTCGTTGATTACATGCTTCTGTAGATTTTATTATTTTATTAAAAGCTGACCAAAGTTGTTGATTTTTTAGACAGACAACCGATCCACCTCGTTTTGATTGAGACTGCATTCTGTTTATATCACCGACACATGTCCAAGGATTCTTTTCACTTGAGGTTTCAGAGTTATCAGCATCAGTTGTGATAGCCCATTTTGAGTGATCAGATGTAAAGTCCCAATCATCGGTCTCGGTATCGTTTTTAAATTTCATACTGATGGACTGTACATTCATCACATTAACCGTTTTCCTAGAGCAAGTTGAGTTTAAAATGCCTCCAGCTCCTCGCCTCCAAGTTTGAGTGTATAAATCACTTTTTAATGTGGGTCCAATTACATCAGAGTAAATTTCAATCAAAGCTCGAGGAGATTTGCCAAAAACCGTAAACTGTGTTCCATCCGATGAGCCTTTTAGTGAAGATGTTAAAACTGTATTCCTATTTCGAGACCTTTTCCGACCAGAAGAAGGTACTAGGCTTTGGAAGTTATCATTTTCCTTCGGAATCGTATCGATTAAATTGTAAGCATAAACATTTGGTCGCATTAAAGCCAGAATTGATCCAATCTTAGGGCCTTCTAATTGACTCGCAAAACTGAGACACAATGAAATCTGTGCGTTTTCCCTTCCCGTAGTTGGGTAGTCGTAGGTTTCATTGAACAAATTAGGAAAATTGGGAACTGAATGGATCAACCAAAATCCTGAGGTTGCGTCCATAGCAATAACACCTTTAGAGTGGGCATAATAGCCATTACCTAATGAAAAGTTGAAAAGTATTTAAAAAATTGGTAAACACATGATATTGTTAAAAAAATAATCAAATGAATAAACTAACCTTTTTCCTTTGGTGGATCATCATTCCAAGCAAAATAAGTATATTTGGAGGCATCAGCATATAATGGAGCCAATGTTTTACCCCAAATGGATCCTGAATCATTAACCAATTTAGATGACAATTTCAATTTAGATTCCTTGTAATCTTTGCTTGTTATTGTAGCATAATTGTATCCATTTTGGTTTGGTTTGGGCTCTTCTCTAGGAAGTTTGTAGGCAATGTACCAATCAACTGATTCATCTTGTTCATTTTTACAGCTTATAGCGGTTAAAGGTCCGACAATACAACCAAACAAAATAAAAAAATAAAATAATTTAAACATTGCTGACATTTTAAGAAAATTAAGGTTAAAATCTAAATCCTGGTAAAGATGCTGGACAAAAGCTTTTGGTCACTTGATGTTGTTTGAGGCTGCGAATGGAAACCATTCCTGGCTACAAAAAAAACAAGGTTTAAAAAATCATGAAATTGAAGCTGCTTGTTTATTCCAGATTGAAATCCAATGCAACATGATATTCAATTTAATTTCACACGAATAATTTCAAATCACGAGATATTTGAAGAAATACAATTTCTAAATGTACAAAACTCTAGGTTTCAAATCGACAATCACCTCAAACTTGTTTACCATAAATCAATCAATAAACAGAAAAAAGTTTTAAATAAATTTTCACAGATCTTAATTGTAACTGTGGCAATGAAATGATATTCATCAATACTGTTAAATAGCAGGATGTAGACCGGAAGAATAAGGTAAACTGGCAAGGGTTCCATCCGTTTCTACCTTTTTTATGATATCTCGAAAACGAAAGATAATTTCGAAAAATGGATTCGATAACCGAATTCAGTATAAAATTGTGTATCATGTGTGTTCATAACAAAAAAATCCTTTCTAGACAGCTTTGACCTTCTGATGGACGAGGCCACATTAGATTCGTGTTCAGTTTTCACTCGACAACCTTGGTTAAATGAATCTTTATCGATGTTGCACTTGAACATATCGATGACAGTACGAAGCTCAGCTTCTTGATAATAAAACTTTCATTTTAATTCATTCGCAAGAAAGACAATATAATGAAATAGGGTGTGAGCACGCCCGATATTACTGAATATAACCATAAGAAAACCTAACAATTGAAGATTTTAAACCGATTTCCCTAATCTTGTCCATTATTAATTATAAATTAACAAGACAATCGAATAGGCAGGCATCATATTTATTGAATTATTTTGCAAACTCAGAGTTACCAATGAGATAAATTAATGTAAGAGCAGAGCCAAGCTTAACAAGGCTATGGAGGTTGGTACATAAGCCACTCAGTCTCATCTAGAAGCTAACTTGGCGTATGCCTTGAGTAGTATTCCAATTAAAGAAACTTTTTTATTGTCTATTTTAGTCTCTTTTTATCTGCTTTTCTTGAGTTTCAGGGCTGGGTTCTGAAATTTGTATTTTTTGCGGCGACATTCGGGCCAAAACCAGGAATATAAAGGGGAATATTAATATAGTGTTTCGATATATAAGCCCATTCTTTGTGGCAAAATTCAATTCTTTCCGTTTCAGTTTTTCCCCAATCATCAATATTCAGTATCATTGCTGACATCTTTTCTTGGAATGGTTTCCATCTAGTTTCACCAACCATCGGAATCTCACTGGAGAGCAAATAAAGAATCGTCATTATAAATTAATTACTTAACGAAGTGAATAAACTTACCCATTTTCAGCAAAAGCAGTCCAGATTTTCATCATTTCACGACTCAATGAAATATCTTTCTGTGAATAACCAGGTTTCATCAAGGGATAACCAAAAACATACGGAGCTTCAGCTCCATGAGGAGTCCCTATCCAATTTGAAATCCGACTTTCTGTACCATAATCAACCAACCCTAGCCATTCAGTCATGGAAGGTGTTGGATTTTGAGTGTGATAGTAAGCATACACTTTACCGCCCTATTTACCAAGACTGGATGCATATTCAAGTCCAAAAACATAAGCTGGACAAATGAATAAAAGGTCACTGTAAGCCTTTTCAAGGTGAGACCTGAAATCTGAATTGTTAGTTTCTGGACCAAAGTATAGTTCACGGAAATAATCAGCTGATTCAGAATCAAAAAAGCGCTTCAAGTAATTTGTAGCTTCTTGATACGATATTGGCTTAGGAGGTATTAGATAATTAAAGACTATGGGATCAATAGCCATCATGAACATCGAAGCGTCATTCTTTTCAACACCCAATAGAACGTCAACCGAATTATCAAAAAGTCCTTCTGCAAAAGCTTTGGATGGTTCGTATGGCAGAAACTCGTCACCCACTTGAAAGGAAAATTCAATTATTTTATTATCCAGACTATTCAAAATCTCTGTCGCTGACAAATTCTGCATGCATTCAAGAACATTTGGCGATTTTGAACATGAAGTTTTGTTGTAGAGCTTCCAAGAATCTCTAATCAAGACATCAATATTATGATCCATGAAAACTGTTCCCGATTCAAGAATAGCTCGTTTGAAGAGTCCTTTTGAAAGGGGAGACAATAAATGAGCAGAGACTGAGACTGACCCAGCAGATGAACCAGCGATTGTCACACTATTTGGATCACCCCCAAACTTGCGAATGTTTTCATGAACCCATTTCAAAGCAAACAATTGATCTTGAAAACCAATATTTGAAGGGATTCGAGGTTCATCGGCTCCAAAGTGGATGAAACCAAATGCATTGAGACGATAATTTATAGAGACAATTATAACATCATGTAATGGAACCAATGGAATACCTTCAATAACTCCAGATCCAATTGTAAACCCACCACCATGGATCCAGAAAAGTACTGGTCTTAGTTTTTCTGATGAGTTGTTAAAAGTTGATTCAGTTACATGAACATTTAGATAGAGACAGTCTTCACTGGTTATTTGAATATCTGGCATAATATGGGGTTGCAAACAAGCTGGACCAAAGTCAGTCACTGATTTAACCTCAGTCCATGGGTCTGGTTTAACTGGTAACTGTAACCTTAATATATCAACCGGTGGCTTTGCATAAGGAATACCGAGAAACTGGTAAACTCCAATCGATTCATATTCGATAACTTTACCTTGAATAGGACCAGTAGTCAAATTAACTATTGGAGTTAAATCAAGCCCATGAATGGGCGAAAAAATTAAACAGAATAATATAAAAACATTCATTTTCAAATGATAAATCAATGGTTATGGTAAACATTTTCTGTTTACGATTTATATATAACCAACTCTCCAATCGAAAGTCGAATGATTATTTTATCATCTCGAATAAATCAGGGAATTGTGATTAGAGAAGTATTTTGAAGAGACAATGAAAAAAACAATCGATTTAACGATTTGATCTTGATCTACAAATATTTATTAGTACAAATTATCGGGAAAATTCATTCTAATTTTGAATCATGAGAATTCAAAATCCGAGTACAAATTGATAACTCACTTCTGAACAATCAATAAATTAACAATTTTCTCTTAATATCATCGACTATTAACAGCAGCTCTGAGAAAAGTTTATGTTAGCAACTCAAGTGGTTGCAAACGCTCGAAATGTAAAATTTTTCCGTGACTTAGATGGACCCAATCTTTTGTCAAAAGAGTTTAGTTAATTTCAGTTAATTTTTGGTTGCATTTTCAGCATTTGCAACACAATTGCTTCTGCTGCAGGTTTCATATCTCTGAGGGTAATTGGTGAATTACTTGACAGTGAGTTTTTAGATCAACAGAAGATTAATAATGGCAATTTATATTATTATACTATCAATACTCACTAAAATTGCTTCTTGTTTACAGTTAGATCACAGTGAAGTCTAGTGATCTTTTTATTGGTGCTATCATGACTTTTGGTGACTTAAATTTTCTCATGTATGCTAGCACTGAGCCAGTAGCATGAGGTGTAGCTCCTTCACGATCAAATGATATCAGATTCGGGGTCACAAGAAGAAGCGTACTATTAATCTGTACTCAAAACTGGTAAACACAATCGAATTATAATGATTCAAAATTATAATGAATTTCCCCGATAAGAACTAGTATGAATCTTACTATCGTGAATCAAGATCAAATCAGTAAATCGATTGTTTTTCCCTTATCTCTTCAACACATTTCCTTTACAGGAGGAGTTTGTACACTTCTTGGATCATCTTTGCTCGATATTCAAATTAGTATTCAACAAGATTTTGTTACCACTTCGAAATTAATTCCAATTCGTTCCATTGGTTATATCACAGGAGGAAGTCAATCAATTTAACCTCAATTTTTGTTTTTAAATCAACTGCTTATGTGAATGTCACGTCTTGTTGCTGCTAAAATGGTTTTTGTTTATTACAACATTGTATCTTTTGGTGCCTTTTGAGCACCTTTTGGTCCTTTTTGGTTGTTTTATTGATGAATCAAGTATTTTTTCATTTATAGCTGCTTTTCTGGAAAAATTCTCAAATATCAATGTAATTATGGCGCTGACCAACTTCACTGGAGGTTTATTCCTGATATTTGCTCCATGGTTTACATCAATCTATTTAGTTGCTTGTTTCATCTATCTTTCGGGGATTTCCCAGGGACCATTTGATATATGTAAGTTATAATTAACGCGATTGAAAACTTAAATACTGATATTTGTGGATGTAACTAGTTCTGTCTAGTTTTACTCGAGCTGCTGAACATCAGTCAAGGTTCTTGATTCAAGAGTATGAACAATAAGATCAGCTGAAAGTCTAAAGTTTTGTTTTTCATACTGGAAAGCTCGAAAATGCGGTAAAGGCTCTTTTGAGCTAATTCTGAACAGATAAGGGCAAAACGGATAATTTCACCAGGGATAAACCTATTAAAGCTAAATTTTTAAGAAGTTAAAATCAAACTTAATGAGTATAACCCGAAGTCTAAATAAAGCAAGTCGAGTCCCGAAATTGTCCATCAATTGTTTGAGGCCAAATAAGGCGCAACATTCAAAAGACACCAATAAAAATTACTAATCAAAACACAATTAAATTCATAATTATGTTTTTTATTTATAAAAGATGGTACTGATATCGAATGGACAGTTTTCAGGGACTCGACTGTATTGAGAAGCATTTTATCAGTTTTTTTCTTTTTCTCTTGAACCTTTTGTTACAATTTGACCATCCACTCAATCATACTGAGTGATAATTTAACTTCTATTACATCAAAAAAGGGTGCTAATCATTTAGATTTGGAAAATTATGAACATAGAGAATATCGAACTGTAGAAAACGCGACGCGCGCGCGTATTTGACTTTAGCTGTTTTGCCTTTAGCTCTTAAGGTTTATCTAAAACAAGCTTAGCTATAAGAGTTTTAGCTAAAAAGGTACAGAACCATAAAAAGTCATATATCAGCTGGAATTTTAAGCCATTTTCAAAATTGTTGACTTCAAAATTTCTTTACAATTACCGATTATGTCCGCAAATAAGCATTTTTCCCACTGAGCTTCGCGTTAAATTAACTTTTAAATTTTCATTACAAAAACTCATTCAAATTTCACCCAAAATTAGCCGATTGTTTGTCCATTGTGCTTTAACTGGAAAACTTTTTGCAATAACGTTTTTAAGCACTATGTAATTAATTGATAAAATCTCTATTTTTCATGATAATTTTGCATCATATTGTTCATTACCCTACTATGCCAATTTTGGTACAGAAACAAATGAGTTACTAAATTGAAAACACGATTCCTAAACTTTCGCAATGTCACTGTATCATTTGCCGCGTTATCGAACAGTACTTCCCTTATTCCTTATTTTATTAGTTAGATACTCTTCTTTCAATCTTGGAAGACAATTAAGATTTATCGAAGATATAACAATTGCATAAGAGTCAAAGCAGAAAACAATTAAAACAAAGCGTTTCACGTCACTAATCATAAAAATAACCACCTCAGAGTATAATCGACTCTCTAACGGTTACTTCAATAAAAAGTTGAAATATAAAAGGCTCGAATCAACTCAACATCGCTCTCATATGTTTCAATTGTGCAATAATATTGATTCTGTTCTGTTTCTTCAACTATCAATTTAAATCACTTTATTTAAATTCGTTACTGTTTTCCATAATAATTGTAATCCTTTTACTGGTTCTTTTTGTTTTGCTCTGTACTGATGAACAACATGGCAAGTAAACCAGATCTCGAGATGCAAACTATCTCGGTATTACCAACAGTCATGGAATCCAAAGCTAACGATAATTTCCCGAAACCTTGTATTCCAACTAGGTTTTACATTGCCTTTATTACTGCTTTAACAACGTTTGTTATGTATGCCATCCGCAATTGTTTAAGTGTTGCGATAGTTTCAATGACTGTAGATGAAACTAAGTTGAACAAATCAACTTCATATTCAATGACTGACAGCAACAATTCAATTACAATCAAACCATTGCATGAAAAGGTAAGTTATGATAAAATCAGTTGTTGTTATTGACTAATATCAATATTAAACACTTTGAATCTCAATATTTTCTTAAAAGAATCGATTTAGTTTTAAATATTAATCGAAATATGAATTATTAACATAAACATTGTTTTAAATCATCCAGTTTGCTTGGACCGAAAGTCAAGAAGGAGTTATTCTTGGTTCCTATTTTTACGGATATGCTGCATTTCAAATAATCACTGGAGTCATATCAGATAAATTCAATGTTGTCCATTTGTGTATCATCTGTAACATTATCTCAGCCATATTATCAGCTTTAACCCCGATTGCTGCTCATGCTGGCGTTGCCTGGATATCGATTGTTCGAGTACTCATAGGTGCAAGTCAAGCTCCTACCATTGCTTTGTTATTGGTTTTGGCTGGTAAATGGTTTCCACCTGATGAAGTTGTCTTGCCGATAAGTTTGCTTAATGTTGGTGGTAACATAGGGTCTGCTGCTGCTATGCCATACACGGCTTGGCTTTGCAATCAAGATTTATTGGGAGGATGGCCTCTCGTCTTTTACTCATTGGGTGCCATTAACTTAATCATTCCATTTTTGTGGCTTACAACAATCACTGAAACGCCAAATAATCATCCATTCATATCTAAATACGAGATTGATTACATCGATAAAGCCAATTCAAATGTTGGAAAAGTCAAGGTGAGTTTGAAGTCTACACAGCGAACCAGAAATTCGTAGTGTTTAAGCGCTCAACGTATCGGTCAACTTTGCATTAATTTAGTCAGAGACCTGTGACGCTCGTTTTCAAAATGGAGGAAAATGGTTTGCTGTGTATAGCAATTCAAATTATTTCTTACAGAAATCTTAATCAATAATGTTTCGTTTTGTTTTGCTTTGAAAGATACCAGTACCTTGGTTATCTATATTCACCTCCCTTCCGATTTGGTCAATCATTGTTGCTAAAGGATGCATATATATGGGTATCATGATCTTTAACACCAAAATTCCCGCTTATCTCGAATCTGAGCTTGGCATGGACCTGACTAGTAACGGTTCTTTCAATTCGCTGTTGAACATTGCTATGGCGATCTCAAATTTATTGTCCCCACCCATATTTAAATATTTGATCAACAACGGCTATGTTTCTCGAACAGTTGCCAGGAAGATCGCCGAATCCATAAGTACTGTCTAATTCTCTTACGTTTTGCATCTCAAACTAACTTTCAAATCTTTAATCTTTCTTATTTGTACAATTAAGGTTTTTTTATACCTGCAATTGCTCTTGTGACAATACCATTCATCAAACAGAATACAACTCTGATCCTGTATCTGTTAGTGATTTCAATATTCTTCATGGGATTTCAAGCAGCCGGCGACTGGCCAATTACTTCTGAAGTGGCACCTGATCTAGCTGGAAGTGTTTTCGGTATTACTAATACAACTGCTGCTATTAGTGGTTTCATGTCACCTCTGATAGTTGGGGAATTACTTGAAAGTGGGGTTAGTAAATCAACATTGCATTATTAACATTTCATGATAATCATCTCATCATTATTTAATTTCTTCTCACAGTTAGACCACAGTGAGGCCTGGAGATATGTATTTTTTATTGGTGCTGGTGTCATGACTTTCGGAGGTTTAGTTTTTCTCATATTTGCTAAAGCAGAACCAGTACCATGGGGTGTCGCTCCTTCACGATCAATTGATGCTCTGGATAAAAATCTGGAGGCCAAGAAAAGGACGAGGCCACATTAGATTCGTGTTCATCTTGTTTTCACTCGACAACCTTGGATAAATGAATCTTTATCGATGTTGCACTTGAACAAATCGATGACAGTATGAAGCTGAGCTTCTTGATAATACATGTAAAACTTCGAAAAAGTCGAATCGAGTTTCTCCATTCAAAAATCAATGATTATTGGAATTGTGTATTATTGTAATTGTAATCTTAACGCCTGAGAAATCGTCAATTTCATTTGATCTGATGAATTAAATCATTGTTTCAATCATTTTAATTGCATCCAATAGGGTTGAAAGGAACACAAAATTATTTGAGAAATCTCTTGCATGACAAAATTAACGTCATTATTCTGATGTTTATTTGAACTAATGCAATGTTATTTAGTACCGATTTTGTCAATATCTCGATCTTCACAGATCTTAATTGTGTAATTGTGTAAATGCAATGATATTTATCAACACTGCTAAATGACAATTTATTTGCACAATGTTTTTCACTTGTGCAAAGTTATTAACAAGATAAATTGTCAGTTAATGTTACTTCGATAAAAATGCGTAATGCTAGTGGATAAAAGTACAATTGTAAACTTATTAGCTTTTAATATGTTTACTTTGATGAGGAAAGGTGATTAGATTAAATTTTAAGACAATTTGTCAAGTGATAATTACATGTGCTGCAACTTGTGATGTAAACGCTGGTTAACGTTGAACAATTCATTCCTAAATGTTTTAATTTTCATTTCCATTCATTATTTTAAGCGTGTCCGCCATCTAACTGTACAGTTGTCCATTGAAATATCGGTGAACCACCGAGATCTATTAGTGAAATGAGTTTACAAACCTACCTCGACCAAAATGGATACAAACTTGTCAAGAGTATTTTTTGCTTTCTTACCTTTATGGGATTAGGAGGAGTTTGCACACTTCTTGGATCATCTTTGCTCGATATTCAAATTAGTATTCAACAAGATTTTGTTACCACTTCGAAATTAATTCCAGTTCGTTCGATTGGTTATATCACAGGAGGAATCTTTTGTAAGTCAATCAATTTAACCTCAATTTTTGTTTTTAAATCAACTGCTTATGTGAATCTCAAGTCTTGTTGCTGCTAAAATGGTTTTTGTTTATTACAACATTGTATCTTTTGGTAGCCTTTTGAGCACCTTTTGGTCCTTTTTGGGTGTTTTATTGATGAATCAAGTATTTTTTCATTTATAGCTGCTTTTCTGGAAAAATTCTCAAATATCAATGTAATTATGGCGCTGACCAACTTCACTGGAGGTTTATTCCTAATATTTGCTCCATGGTTTACATCAATCTATTTAGTTGCTTGTTTCATCTATCTTTCGGGGATTTCCCAGGGACTATTTGATATATGTAAGTTATAATTAACCCGATTGAAATCTTAAATACTGATATTTGTGGATGTAGCTAGCTGTGTCTAGTTTTACTCGAGCTGCTGAACACCAGTCAAGACTCTTGAGTCAAGAGTATGAACAATAAGATCAGCATTAGCATAAGTTTTCATCCAAGTATCTATAGATCAATGATCTTTGCTCATCAATTCTGAAGAATTAAACTTTTCTCTCAAACACAGATAGCAACGTTTATATTATTAAAATATGGGGAAAAGATTCAACAAATTATCTGCAAATTCATCATATGTTTTTCGGTGTCGGAGCTCTCATTATACCTCTGGTGACTCGACCTTTTCTATTGCCATTTCAACGTGATGAAGACCAGATTATTCAAGGAAGGTCTATAAACATTAATATAACCTCATCAGCAACAAAATTGCCATTTGGTGGATTTACACCCGATGATGTAACCATTCAATATCCCTATCTGATCAACGGAATCTTTCTTTGCTTGGTTTCAATTGGATTCATAGTTTTTTACTTCAAGGATAAGCAAATCCCATCTAATGACTGTAAATCCGTTAATAATACCGTTTCTGGTAACATTGATTCACCTGGATGCAGTAATGCTGCTTCTGGTGACAATGGATCATCTCAAGACAATGTTGATAAACCATGGAAGAAATATGTCGCTATAATTCCAATGATGTTGATTGCAAACATTGCCTTTGGATTTACAACCACAGTTGGTAAGATAAAATCAGTCAATCATTGAAATTCAATTATGACATTATTTAAAATTTCAATTTAACTTTTGCATCTTAGGTTCACTGGGTCCATCTTTTGCTGTGAAATCTCCCATCGCAATGACCAAGAAAACAGCAGCTTTGTTGATTACAGTATTTTGGACAATGTTTTGCTTTTATCGAATAATTTTTATCCCATTGTCTAGTTATTTTAGTCATAGACGGTTAATGCTGTTTAACCTGCTTTTGATCTTAATCAGTGTTGGCTTGATGATTTCAAAAGCTGCTTATGATCCATATTTTACATGGGCATCATTTATTTTACTCGGCACTGGATATTCACCAACATTTTCAGTCTCATTTGCCTTACTGCAACAATATTTTCCCATTTCTGGCCGATTAGCTTCATTCATATTCATGAATGGCTGCATTGGAGAATCAATTCATCCTTGGTTAGTGGCCAAGTTCATGGAAGGATGGCCAGAATTTTTTGTCTATTACCTTGGTGGAATGTGTATAGTCTATGTGATTCTTAACTTCTCTCTTCCTCATCTGTGTAATTTAATTTTTAAAAGACGGACTACCAATCAATGATAATCATTGTTCACAATTGCCTTCCATCAAAACGTTTCATTTTTACCAGCTTACCCTTAATCTAATATGTATTTTAAATTGGTTAAAGAGACTAATTGTTCCTTTTAATTAAAATCCTCAACCTCTAATCTGAATTACCCTACTCTTTAACCACTGAGCTGATGGTTATTGATAATAAATTGATGTTTTAATACATAACCTTAAGGCAGGTATTCTTGCGCAGATGAAGATTATTGCGTTTTACGCTAAAAAACGCAAGAGACTAAAGATTTTGCGTTTGCACTTCATATGCTGGCGAAACGCTCACTCTAGTTTGTATGTGCTAAAAATTTATGTTGACTGGTTTGTTATAAACTTTCAGTTATTTTGAGTTTCAAATTAATATATTCAAGTTCATCTTACAAACATGCAGAAATTAGTTTAGATTGAGCAAAAAGAAACATTGATCGATTGGAAAATAGTTGATTACAACCCTGTAAAAAAATGAAAATTCAAGTGTTTAGTTGAATTTGGATGCAATTATTTTCATTGAGTTATCAATGAAATTTGCTAATTCCAAATTTTTAAATTTTCATGTTAGATAAATCAATTTTTTGAAGCAAGACTTCATAGGTCTTTGAAGATATAGTATTATATCTTCAATTACAATTACTATACATAATGAGATAGTAATAACAAAGGTCCCAATAAACAATGTTAATCATTGTCTCAAGTCCATTATAATGATTTATAAAGCATTGCATAGCTCGACAAAAGTTGAGGTTGACCGTCGGTATCAAAAAAAAATAATCATTACAGGTTAAATTGTAATATCAATAGAAACCATCGCACCAGTTGGACAGATATAACATCAGAATCCACAACAATATAATAGAAAATCTTTTTTCAAATATTTTGCCAAATTTTAAATTCTTGACATCATCAATTTTTGCTTCCCTTTTCCTCTTCGTAATGACGATACTCTGGCTTGAGTTCCCATTTATTTTTATGTGGGTTTTTGGTATTGTAGACACAAATTTCTTTCAAAATGGTTTTCAAGTAAGTCTGGTGATAAAAAGAGAAGAGAAAAACATTGATTAACATGAGAATAGAAAATAACAATCAGAGTCAAGTAGTGAGTTGCATGTGGAAAGATCGCATGAAACTGTGACTTACACTAGGTTGTTTAGTAATTTTTTCAAGATCTTTACTGTTGTAATATTGATGCTTCTCGAAAGCTTTGAATAACATGTCCAGAACTTTGTCCTTTTCATCACGCGACTTTTTATTTTCTCCTTTACGTTTGGAATCAGTATCAAGCTGTAATATTTTTTAAGGTTAGTCGGCAAAAATTGGGAAAGAAAAGAAAGAAAAAAGTAAGTTAAAGATGAAGACATGTTGATGAAGAGTAGAGGGTAAGAACCGTTTAATGGGTGAGAGTAAAATCAAATTTACCTCTACTCTATGAGAATTGACGGGTAAATAGCTAATTGGAGTCTGATCTAATTTGAGAACCACTTTATTGGGTCTTCGAGCGATTTCCATTTGTTTGGCTTTAAGTCTCATGTAATTTGTATCAGCTTTAGGTCTACATTCACCTTTTTGGACAACGTTGCCCTCCAAGACAAGCTTACTACTGGTTCCTGATTTATCATCTTTTGGACACGAAAAAACAGCTAAATGTTGGTGAGAAATGTCGCTTATAATGAAACGATGTTCCTTTGGTATCTTCGGATCACTAGCACCTCTATGTGAGTTAGCTTGTTCAAAAACGTCACCAGATAAGTCAAACAGAATCTCAGGTCGTCCACCTAAGCCTCTATTGAGAATAAATAGAAAAAAAGAAAATAAACATTCAATTAGGTTAACAGGAATTATTTAAAGGCCGATAGAAGAAGTCAGATTATGAACACGAAATCAAGTGATTGTTCCTATCGAGAAAATTGAGTTCAAATGAGAGAAGAGGAAAAATTGAAATCATTTCATTAGGCCTTAAACACTGGGCAAGCAGTTGTTAAGCTACAGGTTGATAACAATTGATAAAAAAGGTGATAGTAGGGAAGGTGATGGTGGTGATGATGGCAAGGAAACTCTATATTATTCATAAATGGCTAAATATTTAACTTACTTGCTGATTTTAAGCCGGCCAAGTTCACTTTTGGCTGGAGCAGTTGCCCATTCGGTTGCCATGTATTTAGGTACTTTAACCAACCAGACACCTCGTGAGGCATTAATGATGTCCATATCACCGGTTGAATTGGCACTCATGGTTCTAATTTAATAACTAGATTAGTATTTTAAATGATTAAGGTTGAAAGACACGGTGACAAGTTGTCACTGAAAAGAAGTGAAAATATTTTATCTGAATCCGGATTGTAACAACTGTAAACTAAAAAAATGGTTGTCATAGTGATAAAACATTTGTTCGACTTTTGAGGAATTTAATTTGAATCCATTTTCAGTTCATCAGTTCCTAAACAACTGATAAATCTCCCGATAAAACTGGATAACTAAATAGTCACAAGGAAACATTTCTACAAAGACATTGGACAAGCTGAACCAAAAATTATCAGATCTCAATGCTGAAATTTTATCACAAATTAAAGAATTACTTTGCGAAAATCAAATTAACTAAATTTATTTTCCTATTTTATTGGATATTGAATATTCAGTAGCTCATGGGATGAACCAATGTAGTCTTGAAGTGTAAAAGTAAATGGTCAATGAAGAAATTAAAAATTGAATGCCTCACTGAATGACCGCTTTCTCATTTCAATCATACAAAGTCAATTATTTCAGCTATCCTTATAGTGATAGGCTTTGTTTAAGATTTTAATCAAGAATAATTTAAGATTTAATTACTCTTAACTGATTAAACATTTGTTCACACGAGGAAACCTCAAACATTGAGCAAGCAAATTAGCTGAGAATCAATGCTGTAGGTTTTAATTTCAAACAAATGCCAAAACTAATAGAGTAATTATGCAGTAATGAAAATTGAAAATTGAAACCTATTCTAAAGATCACTAGATTGTCGTCTTGGAGTTGCTTTTTCAATCAAATCTGGCTCACATCCTCGCTCAAACCATTTGGGTTAACCATTGAACAAAGCTGGTAAAAATTGGTAACAGAGAGACCAGAATACAATTAATTTGACCTCAATCAAACCAACTAACTGATTGTAAGTGATTGTATCTTCCATTAATCAAATGGTTACTCAAATTGATTGAGAAACGAAATAGAAGGAGTGAGAGAGAAAAAATTAATAAAATTGGAAAAGTAACTCACAAAAGTCAACAACAGCAACAAGTAAGTTTACAAGAACATGTCTAATGCCATTGTTACTAATCAACTTTGATTCACTTTCAATTAGTTTCACTGGTGTGCGCCATTGCCAGTTGATTGTTTTCTTGCTTTTTTGCTGTTCTTGATTATCGTTGTCAATTTTTACCTTCCATCCAATGTATAAGGTTTGAACAAGGAGTTGGGTTGTTACTTGTCAGACATTTTGTTTTTAGTCAATTCATTGGAATCTAATTGTGCTAAAATCAACCTTTAATTCAAAGCTTACTTTGACGTAGCTACAATAATCATTTCCAATTATACTTGTTTACTACCATTGACTTTCAATTGTGCTACTCCAACCAGCATCATAATCATCTGACTCCTCACCATCAATAGACCAATTTAATTTATCCTCACCATTCAGGTTAATCGATTCGGTTTTTTTTCTTGTGTTCATTATCGACTCCTTAAATGTCTCCAAAATCATTTTTTGACAAAATTGATCGTCTCTCGGTCAACAGGAAATCAACTTATGAGAAACTTGACCCAGCCAATATTATGGACGATGATGATGGCGATTTAGATTGTTCAACCCTGGTTGATCCAACAGCAAGACGATCCAAGCCTGATTCAATTCCTTCAATTAACTTTGACAGAATCTGTAAGTTAAATATTTATTTCGATTGTTTATCCAAATTGCTTGTGTTTTTAAGCCTCCTTTGATTGCTAGTTATGCTTGTTTCGAGATATGAACTTTTAACATTCCCTTTTTCCTTTCGATTGTTGAATATTAATTTTGCATATTTTCCATTTTATCTCTTTGTTTATATCCATTCACTGAATCTTCATTTATCAATCTTGAAATTAGTCAAGGACAATCCAATCTATCGTAAAATTGATGCTTGGCTTCATCCGAAAGAACAGCGAATTATTCCGAGACTTGATTCTGGTAATTAGATCTATGAATGTATGAAAAGATGTTCAATAATAAAAGATTGGGATTAGCTTTGTATCATATGACAAATGTATAAACTGTTTTTTACATCAAGTTAAAAAACTGTATTGTATTAATATAACCAAATGTTGAAGTTAAAAAAAATGAACGAAATAAACCATCACCGTTATTAATTATTTATGAAGTCAGTGAAATAAACTTCACAATTAATTCATTGGTGTCATTGATTGAATTAGTACTTTTTACATATAGTCATTGTTTGGTTCAACCAATACGATATTCATCAACTGTTTATCAACCTAATCAAGTTCACTGTGTACTAAATTAATTCATTAGAAACGCTAAATGTGTACTTTAAACTTGAGGTAAGTTTGAAATAACATCATTAGTCTGACAGTATTTCAACTTACAAAAATATGTATTCCAATGGTTTTTTCTGGATTTGGTTGGCAATACAAATCAAAGGCAAGCAAATTTATTGGACTTGGCCATTTTCTAGTCTTTAGTATTCAACTATTCACAGCGAAATCGGTTTTAGCCTCATAATTTCCAGATAACAACAATTGAATGAATATGCTTACGATTGTATAAATAACGGCGAAAATAAAGGTAAATATTAATTAATTATTTCCTGATTTTAATTGATCCCTCATTTTGGATGGTAATTATTGTCATAAGCGAACAGATTTTCTTTTTTTCATCAAGGATCACAAAAGAAATTACATTTAGGTTGAACTGCTTTCATTAAATGATCATATGAATCGTCGTTGTTGTTTAAATGACTAATCATTTACTTTATCAATGTGAATATCGGGTTATAGTCATGCTAAATATATTCCAATGTGATGAATTTCCTTCAGGGACAGGCCATGTTAATTTGCTTTTTTTGTTTTCTAATTTCCAATGAAGAGATTCATGATTAGTCCAGACAAACAATATCATCTGACATTGAAGTTGATTCCACATGTGTAGTTGTTACAGATGAAGATGTTGAGTGCTGAGGCGGTGGCGATGATGATGTTAATTTAGCCATGAGTAATGGTGCATTAGGTGCTGGAGGTGGAGGTGACGGTGGTGATAATGATGGTGGTTTATTTTGTTGTATTATTGGTTGTTGTGTTAATGTTTGTAGCAGTGATTGTGGTCTAGATTGTGGTTGGTATTGCGATGATGATACAGAAGGTACTTTCACAGGCGGTAACATCCTAAAATCACAGCCAACACATTTGTGTTCAAACCGTTTTAATGGTCTCGACGGATTTGCCATCTGCTTTTCAAACATTGCAACGGTAAGTCTCATATTTTTGACTTCATTTTTGAGCTCCGATGCCATCCGAACTAACTTTGCCTTATCTTGTTCAAGTTTTTTGACTCTTTCATCCTTTTCCAGGAGAGCTGCCGCCACACGTTGCTCAATATAATCAGAAATTTCTTGACTGATGGAATCCATTTGATATATATTTGGAATAAAGATGACTACTATGAGTTAAGACACCAAAACTAAAGACTAACAAAAGTAAATGAAGAAGATGATATACATGGACATGGCACAAAATGACAAAGAATGGAAACTTGCATGTTAATTGAAGGATCAGATGTTTACAGATGTATTGACATTTTATTTATCGCTAGTTGCCTTAATTGGCGATAGATGTCGCGCAAGTCCTACTCGAATTTAAAATTTAAATTTTCCTCATCTTCTGGTCATCACATCGTTTCAATGAAAGGGATTCGCCTTAGCTATTCATAATTCAAACCAACTTATGCAGAAAAAATTTTTATCAGATCTTTCCACTTCTAGAATTAAAAGTTACCCAAAAAACTTGATCTTGCTTTGAACAATTTATCCCAAATTTAGTCAAAGGATTGATTTGACCAGATAACTGGTAGATACAATCATAGTCAGTGCCATATACAGTGAATTTAAAAACTCATTCTAGCCAAATCTTGCTATCAGTAAACCTGCTATCTAAAGAGGTTCTTAAGTACATCTCTTTGAGAGCTGCGGTCAGTAGAAATAGAAAAGTCAATTGTTTACAATATTGAGCGGAATGAGTTCAAGTTGGCAGAAAATGTGGCTCTTAAATCGATCAAGTATCATTGATAATACTTGATACAGTTGAAAAATCAACAAAAAAAATAGTCTAAAATGGGTTGCCGAAATGACCATTTGAATTTTTTTGATGTGCTTATTGATATGTGTTCTGTTAAACAAAGCCAAAGGAAGTGTTTAACAGATGACTCGATGATCTCTGACAACCCAGTTATCAATTGAATATCGCCAAGTCTATGAATAAGCTGCCTTGATTGCTAGTAATTATTTACAGTTGCCCTTTTTTGTTCCGACATCCATTTCACAATGGCTGATTCGGCACCTAAAAGATGTGAACAAATCAAAATGAAGATGATTATTAACAAGGTTTTATCGATGTTCAACCAGAATAAGTAATTCAATGTTAAATTTCATTTACACCGTAGTTGATACAGAAATGTCCATAGACCAAAAAAAACGCGAATCTAATCCATGAAAACACAATCAGGTGACTTCATGAGACATTTCAATTTAGCCAACAGAGATCTGGTTAAAAAAAACAAAAACAAGTTAGCTTGAGGAAGTGAGGAATTGAGCTAAAAAAAGTGGCTGTTGAATTAGCTAAATCAAAGGCAATTTACAGGTCAATATAATATCTTTATATTAAATAAATAAAGTACATTTCTCTCTAGATAAATAAACTATGATATTTCTGATATAAATCTCTGATATAAATCTCTATAAATCTATGAAGATAAAAACGATAAATATATATCTAAATATCACCGGTTCGGATATCTGTATTAGCGATTCAGCACCAAACAGCCACTCACTAAGGAAAGTTGATTTGATCACGATAATGTTGACTGCTAAAATAGGTTAAATAGTAATTACAGTTGTTCAAGAAATATAACTCCAGTTGTTTCCATTTTGAGGTTTAAAATCACTTTCAATTATTTACTGGTTTGATGAAATATTCATAAACAAAACTTAAGATTGAAAATGATCGATTAAATGTTAATCCTTGAATATACTCACCTTATTTTGCCTAATCTGGATGAAAAGGCGATTTAAGAATCAGTAAATCACAAACAAAAACGTCCTCTTCAACATATTAATCATCGCCAAGACAGGAAAAAAAGCGTCAAAACAAAAATTAAAATTTCAATTAGTCGCCATCTTTCGTTGA